TCCGAAGTTAGCTTTCCTTTCTTGTTTTTATTGAAATCGGACAATAATATCATATAGCTTTTATAGAAATGACCGAAAACTTGAGAGTAAAATCGACCTAGCTTCATTGTTATATTAGGCGATTCGAATTAGCCACTTCCGTCAGTTCGTAACTATAACTTTGTCGTTTCCTAAAATATTTCCATACACTCCAAGATATAGTAAATTTTAGCAATCTCAGAATAATAGTTTTAATTTTTTTTTATAAAAATTTTAAGACTATATCATATAGATGCCTTAGAATGATCGCTAAATAACAGGCAAATCAACACAACTTAAGCGTTTTGAAAAATTTACTGACATTTTTGGAAAAATCATATGTTTTAAGATTGTATACAAATCATATAGATCTCGCAAATAAGATTGGCATACTGACATAATCTTTTCCTTTCAACAGATTCCCAGATTGCAGATTCAGTTATTTTTTTATACCCTTGCAGAGGGTATTATAATTTCAGTCAAAAGTTTGCAACGCAGTGAAGGAGACATTTCCGACCCTATAAAGTATATATATTCTTGATCAGCATCACCAGGAGAGTCGATCTAGCCATGTCCGTCTGTCCGTCTGTCCGTCTGTCCGTCCGTCTGTCCGTCCGTCCGTCCGTTTCTACGCAAACTAGTCCCTCAGTTTTAAAGCTATCTGCTTGAAACTTTCCCAAAAGTTGTCTTTCTGTTGCAAGTAGTATATAAGTCGGAACGAGCCGGATCGGGCGACTATATCATATAGCTGCCATATAACTGAACGATCGGAAAAGCCATAACGTTGGTGTTTGTAAAGTTAGGAAGTTGGGATTTTCTATGGGTTTTATTTTTGGCCAATCAATCCGACCTACCAAATTTCATAAGGATCGGCCGACTATATCCTATAGCTGCCATATAACTGAACGATTGGAAATGTCATAAGTTTGGTGTTTTTATACCCTTGCAGAGGGTATTATAATTTCAGTCAAAAGTTTGCAACGCAGTGAAGGAGACATTTCCGACCCTATAAAGTATATATATTCTTGATCAGCATCACCAGGAGAGTCGATCTAGCCATGTCCGTCTGTCCGTCCGTCCGTCCGTTTCTACGCAAAATAGTCCCTCAGTTTTAAAGCTATCTGCTTGAAACATTCCCAAATGTTGTCTTTCTGTTGCAGGTAGTATATAAGTCGGAACGAGCCGGATCGGGCGACTATATCATATAGCTGCCATATAACTGAACGATCGGAAAAGCCATAACGTTGGTGTTTTTAAAGTTAGGAAGTTGGGACTTCTTATGAGTATTAAGAATATATCATATGAATAATTTTGAAGAATATAATTTACAGAATATTCTTCGGCTCCGTCCGAAGTTAGCTTTCCTTTCTTGTTTTTATTGAAATCGGACAATAATATCATATAGCTTTCATAGAAATGACCGAAAACTTGAGAGTAAAATCGACCTAGCTTCATTGTTATATTAGGCGATTCGAATTAGCCACTTCCGTCAGTTCGTAACTATAACTTTGTCGTTTCCTAAAATATTTCCATACACTCCAAGATATAGTAAATTTTAGCAATCTCAGAATAATAGTTTTAATTTTTTTTTATAAAAATTTTAAGACTATATCATATAGATGCCTTAGAATGATCGCTAAATAACAGGCAAATCAACACAACTTAAGCGTTTTGAAAAATTTACTGACATTTTTGGAAAAATCATATGTTTTAAGATTGTATACAAATCATATAGATCTCGCAAATAAGATTGGCATACTGACATAATCTTTTCCTTTCAACAGATTCCCAGATTGCAGATTCAGTTATTTTTATACCCTTGCAGAGGGTATTATAATTTTGGTCAAAAGTGTGCAACGCAGTGAAGGAGACATCTCCGACCCTATAAAGTATATATATTCTTGATCAGGATCACCTCCTGAGTTGATATAGCCATGTCCGTCTGTCCGTCTGTCCGTCTGTCCGTCTGTCCGTCTGTCCGTCTGTCTGTTTCTACGCAAACTAGTCTCTCAGTTTTAAAGCTATCGGATTGAAACTTTGCACACACCCTTCTTTCCTTTGCACGCAGTATATAAGTCGGAACGGCCGGGATCGGCCGACTATATCCTATAGCTGCCATATAACTGATTGATCGGAAATGCCATAACTTTCGTGTTTGTAAAGTTAGGAAGTTGGGATTTTCTATGGGTTTTATATTTGGCCAATCAATCCGACCTACCAAATTTCATAAGGATCGGCCGACTATATCCTATAGCTGCCATATAACTGATTGATCGGAAATGCCATAACTTTGGTGTTTGTAAAGTTAGAAAGTTGGGATTTTCTATGGGTTTTATATTTGGCCAATCAATCCGACCTACCAAATTTAATAAGGATCGGCCGACTATATCCTATAGCTGCCATATAACTGATTGATCGGAAATGCCATAACTTTGGTGTTTGTTAAGTTAGGAAGTTGGGATTTTCTATGGATTTTATTTTTGGCCAATCAATCCGACCTACCAAATTTCATAAGGATCGGCCGACTATATCCTATAGCTGCCATATAACTGATTGATCGGAAATGCCATAACTTTGGTGTTTGTAAAGTTAGGAAGTTGGGATTTTCTATGGATTTTATTTTTGGCCAATCAATCCGACCTATCAAATTTCATAAGGATCGGCCGACTATATCCTGTAGCTGCCATATAACTGAACGATTGGAAATGCCATAACTTTGTTGTTGTTAAAGTTAGGAAGTTGGGATTATCTATGGGTTTTATTTTTGGCCAATCAATCCGACCTGCCAAATTTCATAAGGATCGGCCGACTATATCCTATAGCTGCAATATAACTGAACGATTGGAAATGACATAACTTTGGTGTTTTTAAAGTTGAAGTTGGAATTTTTTATGAGTATTAAGAATGCATCATATAAATAATTTTGGAGAATATAATTTACAGAATATTCTGCAAGGGTATATCAACTTCGGCTCCGCCCGAAGTTAGCTTTCCTTTCTTGTTTTTAATTATATTAAGAGTGAACACTTCCAGGGGTCGCGTACGTTCTTATGTTTTAAATTTACAAATAAAATATAAGAAAATCTGATATGATAAAAGGTAAAAAGTCTTCCGTTAAAAATAACGGATGTCGTCAAATTTGTTATATAACACAATGAAGCCAAAACTTAAAAAAAATTAAATTTCGAGCACTCAATAGCCGAACAACAAGTTTGTACAAATGTTTATTCTGATATAGAATAAATATTCCATATATTTATACCCTTGCAGATGGTATTATAATTTTGATCAGAAGCTTGTAACGCAGTGAAAGAGACGTTTCCGACCCCATAAAGTATATATATTCTTGATCAGGATCAATAGGGGAGTCGATATAGTCATGTCCGTCTGTCCGTCTGTTTCAATACCGTTTGCGAGCTCAGTTTAAAAGCTAGCGATCTGAAACTTTCACAGTCATCCTAAAACATGTGTATGCAGATCAAGTTTGAAAACCGCCCCGATCGGATGTCTATATCTTATAGCTCCCATAAGAACAATAGGGTATAACTTGCAAGAACGGAAGATATTTCGCGCAGTGTAAAAGCTATTAACATAAATCTTTTCAAATCTTATTTTTGTATGCATACCTTGATCAGGGTAAAAGCCCTTTGCAATCGGACGTCTATATCCTATAGCTCCCATAGGAACAATAGGGTGAAATCGGTTAAAATTTAATGATTTTTAGGATATTTCGCGCAGTATATAAGCAATTGACATGAATCTTTCCAAATCGTATTTTTTTATGCATACCTTGATTAGGGTAAAAGCACGTGACGATCGGACGTCTATATCCTATAGCTCCCATGGAAACAATAGAGTGAAATCGGTCCAAATTTGATGATTTTCAGAATTTTTCGCGCAGTGTGTAAGCTACTGACATAAATTTTTCCAAGTCTTATTTATTTACGCATATCTTGATTAGGGTAAAAGCGCTTGCCGATCGGACGTCTATATCTTATAGCTTCCGCAGGAAAAATTGTTAAAGCTGCGAAAGTATCCCTTTTTTCTATTTTTATATGACATTTTTGCAGTATAAAAGCAATTGACATCAAACGATGCACATCTAGTTTATTTATGCCTTTCGCTACTTTTTCAGTTTTAGCAATTTCGGCAAAGTCTGCAAGGGTATTAAAACGAAGTTAGCTTCCGTCCTCGTTGTATTTCTAAGATTTTCAAACTAATTTAAATTCTCTCGTTGCAAATAGCTAATGGGTATAAAACAATGCTTTATAAATATGCCAACGTTAATAGCAATAAGCTTTTGTCAGCGGCTGTCGGGTTGGACTATATCGGTTATCATTTGTATTTTGGTGGTCCGGCAGCTCAATTAATTTGAATTTCAAATCTGAATTGGGTTGATCACAATTGCGGTTGCCGGTTATTTACAACAAAGTAAATATAAACAAAATTGATATTCGTTTTAAAAAATTGAATAAATTGGGATTTTATAAAAACAAGGAAGCGGTAAAAAAAGGTGTTAATTAAAACCAGTTGTTCAACTTTTTAATAATATATTTGTAACAAAAGAATTCTGTAAAACTATATATGTTTGTTTTTCGGTTTAAAGGCATTGATATAAATTAACAAAATAAACAAATTGTATATCTTTTCTTTTTTTATAATGGTTCTTTTTTATATAATTAAAAATAAAAAGCTATTAAAACCAATCCAAGTTGCATGCCAGATAATTGAATTAACCTTATTAATCGTATATTACAAGGGATGAATTGATTTTTTAACATGACATTGGCATTGTCTTTTGGGGATATGTTACGCTCCACCCTACCTAATCTTAGTTAAAAATAAAGTACCCAGGCAATAATAAAGTACCCAGGCGTATTAGGCGTAGGGTCTAACGATCGCACGCCACGAACCTGCTAACGAGCCGAGCTATAAATATTGATAATTCGTACTGTTTTTTCCTCTGTCGGTCTGCTGCGAAGCGTACGTTTCGGGGTGGATCACCGAGAGATCTATGAATCTCTTTTCCGACGCGGAACTGAATAAAAGCCGGGCTCATCGGTCCAGTGGCCAAGTGTGTGGACAACTCTCGAGGCGGCAACAACTCAACATGAAACTTTTCATCGCGCTTTCCGTTCTGGTGGCCGTGGCATCGGCCCTGCCTCAATTTGGCGGAGGAAACGCCAACGCCAAAGCTAATGCCAATGCCAATGCCCAAGGATTTGGCGGCGGTCGTCCAGGCGGATTTGGCGGATTTGGCGGCGATCCAGGCAGCCCCAGATTTGGTTTCTCCGGATTTGGTGGCCCCGGTGGATTCGGTGGCCCCGGTGGATTCGGTGGTCCACCGGGATTCGGTGGTGGCCCCGGATTTGGTGGTGGCCCCGGATTTGGTGGTGGCCTCGGATTTGGTGGCCCCGGATTTGGTGGCCCCGGTGGATTCGGTGGTCCCGGTGGATTCGGTGGTTACTCCCCTGCATTTGGCGGTGGCCCTGGATATAACAGAGCTAGATCCGGAGGTCGTCCAGGCGGTGGCAGCAGCGGTTCGTCCAGTGCCTCAGCTTCCTCCTCAGCTTCGTCTGGTGGTGGCGGCGGTAGTTTATCAGCTCCCTCCTCTTCTTCCGCCTCTGCTGCGGGTGGCAGATTCCGCGGTTGAACCGAGCCAAAAATTAATAGGAATTAAGCGATAAGAAATGACTGCGAATTGAAATTAGTGAATTAAAATCAAAATACTTTTACAATTTTGTAATCACTGTTATGCAGCAGCTCTTAGGATTTGTAGGAAATTTATTGCATAGCAGCGCATAACCGAATGTTTGATCTCAGTGTCCCAGAAACCTTATACACTTTTAATAATCGACTAAGGAAGTCCTTTTTAAAAACCTAATGGTGAGGAAAATGTACAAATAGATATGTTTAAGTAAAAGGAAAACCATTTCCAAACCTTAAAATTTTAAAAAATTTTACAAAATTTGATAAAAATAAATAATAAAATAAGTTTATTTACTTAACATGGAAAAAAACCAATTATTACAAATATGTATGTATGAAAAATGTTTATACATTCATACGTCATTTTATACGTTGACTCGAATCAGAAGATCAACATCTGTTGTTCATTGTGAGATTTAATTTATAATATAATCGTTTTGTTATTGCTACGGCGGTTTTATTTTTAAATATATTGATATTTCAAATTTAGAAATAAAATAGAAAAACCTATAAAAAAGGGTAATATGATAAAAGGTAAAAAACATTTGTCTTCCATTAAAAATAATGGATGTAATAAAATTTGTTGGATAACATAAAAGTTTCAAAAGTTTAAAAAAATTTAATTGTGCTCCGAACTACAAGATTGTATTCCGCAAATGTTTATTCTGATATAGGAAAAATATTCTATATATGTTAATCTGTCATTTCTTACGAATTTTTAGTGGTGATACGGATAATCTGAGCTCAATTTTCGTTTTTGCATGTGATTGGGCAACATTTAAACAACATGTGTGAATTTTTTCATCCAAAAATATTAAAAATTGAGTGAGATACAGGAAATCTCCGGCGAAAGAAAACACGCTTTGCGGTGTACACGATAACTGGTCACAGAATTATCTGAATTGAAAAAATCAAATTGCATTACTTAAAGGACAAGATTCCTCAGGTAACGCTGTCGAGTTTTTATTTTTTTTATTTATTTTTTTCTATTTTTTAAGGCACTTGAAAGTCAAAAACCTCTATTTTCGCCCAAAACGTTGAGTTATTTGTTGCTCTAAAAATAATAAATCTAAAAAAAAAACTCGACAGCGTAACCTGAGGAATCAGGTGAAGAAATACTGTACAAAATCTCAAAACGATCCGTTCGATAGATTTTGCAGGATCGTGTACACCGACTTTGAAATGGCAACTTTTAAGGAGAGCGTTTTAAAGTTTGGGACACCCAAAAATGCAATATAAAACGCACTTACATACCTACGTTTCACTGCCCATAAGTTCGGAAGTTTTACTCGGATCGACATTCAGAAAAAAAAAATTAAAAAAAAAAGAAAATGCAAGAAAAAAATGTAAATACTATAACTCCCCTTAAGCTCACCCAGCAAATAGCTAAAATAACCCAACTTTAATAGCACTAAGCTTTTGTCAGCCAATGATGTGTGGACTGTATTAGATTGATTTGAATTAATTTGGCTGGGCATTTGAATTAGTTTCAATTTTATTGTACCCAAATGAATTCGATTTATAAAATGCAATACAATACAATACAGTTAAAAAAGTGTTAAGCAGTGTTAAATATTAGTCTGAGGAAAAAGTTCAAATAACATTTTACTAGCTAAAACGAAAACATTATTCACGTCATTTATTTAGATAATTTCAATTTAATTTCAATTTAATTTCAATTTATTTTAAAATGCTTTCCTAACGCTACAAGTTGATAACTTATAATTAGTGCGTCACGTAGGACAAATTACTTATTAATACAGATTTGACATAGTTATTTGGAAATTTAAATGGAATTCTTAAAATTACGCTTAAACATTAAAGGTTAAAGAAAAGAAAAGGGTCGCTTTTTTTTTTTTTTTTTTTAAATAAGATAATAGATAGATAAAAATTGTTTTAGAAATAATATACTTAAACGTGAAAAGGATTTTGTATAATAAAAAAGCGGGTTCTGTTGAATATCTAAATTTTATTTTATTGATAACAAACATACAAACATACATTATTGTTTGTCTAAGATTTTCAAACTAATTTTAATTTTTTCGTTGCAAATAACTAATGGGTATTAAACAATGCCTTATAAATATGCCAACGTTAATAGCAATAAGCTTTTGTCAGCGGTTGTCGGGGTGGACAATATCGGTTATCATTTGTATTTTGGTGGTCCGGCAGCTCAATTAATTTGAATTTCAAATCTGAATTGGGTTGAACACAATTGCTTAAAATTATGTAAATGTTATAGGGTCTTGTGCGGTTGCCGGTTATTTACAGCAAAATAAAATTGAATAAATTGGGATTGATAAAAACAAGGAAGCGCTTAAAAAGGTGTTAATTAAAACCAGGTGCTCGTCTTTTTAACAATATATTTGTAACATAAGAATTCTGTAAAACTAGATATTTTTGTTTTTCGGTTTAAAGACATTTATATTGATATAAATCAAATAAAAAAACAAATTGTATATCTTTTCTGTTTTTATAATTGTTCTATTTTATATAAACAAAAATAAAAAGCTATTAAAACCAATCCAAATGGGATTCAAGATAATTGAATAAACCTTATTAAATGTGTATTACATGGGATGAATTGATTTTTTAACATGACATTGGCATTGTCTTTTGGTGATATTTTACGCTCCACCCTACCTAATCTTAGTTAATAATAAAGTACCCAGGCAATTCTATGATAATTAACTGCCCTCGCACCGTTTCCCATCTGTGACAGTGCCGAAAATAAAGAAAAATAAATGCTTAATGAAATATAAACACAGATATCAACAATCGCTTAAATATTGATAGCGGCAAACCGGTTCCATAGGAAACAACCACGAACGCGGCTCGTGTTGGTCTTAATAGATTTGCAAACTTTCCTAAGACCATTGCATTTAATCATAGCTCTATCCGACTCTTTCTGATGATATCTGCTCCACACAGAGCCCTGCTCAACTCCACGATCGCCGATAATAATTTTCGGCAGTGACTATTGTTTGCATGCTAATTTTTCCCCGAATGGCGGGGTATTCTCAGTTTTTGTTGGCGTCTGTCGGCCGTCTGTTGGCTGTCTGGCTACTATAAAAGCCGGGCCCTGGGGCATTGGTTATTAAGTTTGTTAAGTCACTCCGATCATGAAGGTCTTCGTCGTTCTCGCCGTAATCCTGGCCGTGTCCACTGCTGCCCCACAGTTTGGAGGTGGTAGTGCCAACGCCAATGCCAATGCTCAAGCTGAAAATCAAGGTAGCTTCCAAGGTGGTCAATACGGAGGACCGGGCCAATTCGAAGGACAAGGATTTCAAGGAGAAAGAGGACCTGGCGGATTCCAAAATGGACCAGGAGGTCCAGGTGGATTCGGACAAGGAGAACAAGGAGGCGGATTCGGAGGAGCACCTGGCCGATTCCAAAACGGACCAGGAGGTCCATACGAAGGTGGATTCGGACAAGGAGTAGAAGGTGGATTCGGACAAGGACGACCGGGACAAGGTGGATTCCAAGGAGGCAATTCCGAAGCTAATGCTAATGCTGTTGCTAACGCCAACGGAAACGGTTATGGGGGTGGAAATGCTAATGCCAATGCCAATGCCAACGCCAGCTCCCGCGGTGGTGGTGACGCTAATGCCAGTGCTAGTGCTAGTGCTAGCTCTAACGCCTTCCGTAAATAAGCGGCGAGTACAATACGAATTTGTTCACTGATTAGTTTTTTAATATTTATAAAAAGAAAAACAAATAAAAAATTTAAAAAACAGATGCTGTGAAGACTTTATTTTATATTTGTCCAAGGGGTTTTTATCCTTCAAGTCTGTTAGTCCTTCAGAAATATATTAAACTTAATTCATTAAAAGTGAATAAGTAAATTTAGAGTTTTTAAGAGTAGTCTTTTAAAGCCATGAAGAAGACAATAGAGAGATATAAAATGGTTTTTTCTTTATTACACTACTAGTTAGAAGTTTTAATTTAGTTCGACTCGCGTTTTATTAGAAGAATGTTCAGGAAAAATATACCTCTTTCAAAACAGGTTCCTAATTACTAAACTTAAAACAAACTTTAATGTTTTCCGACAGACTAAAATGTATTCTGCTGAAAAATATACATTTCTTTGGGCCATGAAATTTGATTTGTTGTGATCTGGGAAATAATAATGCTCTAAAAATGTGGTGGATTAAAAATAAATAAATAAATAGTTTTTTAAGGAAAAACGTATATTTGCTGTCACCAGTATTTACTAAATAATATTTAAAATTAATCTATTTGTTAGATAGTGCAACGACAATATTAAATTACTTTGGCACTTCCGGTCATCTGGATTTTTGTCAAGTCTCATGTCCATGATCCATTGGTTCTATTTTCTTGTTAAATTTTAAATGCATCACCCATTTAATAGAGGCCCTAAAGACTTAATCTGGGCAAGTTTCTGAAAACAACATGTTTAAATTTGATTTTCATTCGTTAGCAGCACGAAAACTACTGGTAAGAATTAATAACAATCACAGTAGTCGGAAGAGGTTTTAGTGTCTGCGTCGCTAGATTTGAAAATATTAAAATAAAACCAGTAATTTATGAAATGCTAAACTGAAGTACCTAGAAGAAAGCCCTTCTCTATTTGATTTGGAGTTTTTTAAGAAAATTTAATTCAAATAATAATAATAACATATTTATACGTACATATTAAATTTTCATACTGTTCTCTTTGTTCCACTTTCTAAAGCAAAAGAGCACAACATTTTATGTTTCTAAAGCAAAAAAGCACAACATCTTATGTTTTATCACACGCTTATGTTGGGTTTAGTAAAACACTAATGTTACCAAAAACATGCTAATCAAAGACATAAAAAACAGAACAGGTTTTCTGCTGGGCTCAGCAGCTACCGTAGAAATATCACAGATGTGAAGCTGTGAAGTCACATTTTTATAAAATGATAAAAATCGTAATTTTTCAATTTTTATGTTAATTTTCTGAAAAACACACGAGCAGAATACGTATTCAGCACCCTGGAATTTAGTAGAAGAGTATAATTTTCTATAGCAGGGCATGTTATATATGTTATATATACGCCATTTTTCCTCAATAAACAAGAAAGTGTGACTTAATTGCAATTTAATTATAAAATACAATTTTTCTTACTAACTAAATTATGTTTTCTAGTATATTCTGTTAAAAAATGTAGATCGTTAAGTTTGTATTTTTCGGCAGTGACTATTGTTTGCAATAGTCTTTCCCCCCAGGTGCGGGGTATTTTGAGTTTTTGTTGGCGTCTGTCGGCCGTCTGTTGGCTGTCTGGCCACTATAAAAGCCGGGCCCTGGGGCATTGGTTATTAAGTTTGTTAAGTCACTTCGATCAAGCAGATCATCATGAAGGTCTTCGTCGTTCTCGCCGTAATCCTGGCCGTGTCCGCTGCTGCCCCACAGTTTGGAGGTGGCAGTGCCAACGCCAACGCCAATGCCAATGCGCCAGCTGCAGATGAAGGTGAATTGGTGTTAGTTGGAATCAAAAAGGTATATGGACGAACGGGCGGATTCGGCCCAGCAACAATAACAGGATTTGAAGGAACCAATTCCTATGTTAATGTTAATGCTGTTGCTAACGCCAACGCCAGCTCCCGCGGTGGTGGTGACGCTAATGCCAATGCTAGTGCTAGCTTTAACGCCTTTGGTAAATAAGCGGCGATTACGATACGAATTTGTTCACTGATTAGTTTTTAATATTTATAAAAAGTAAAACAAATAAAAAATTTAAAAAACAGATGTTGTGAAGACTTTATTTTATATTTGTTTTGAGTTTTGATCTTGGAAAGGGAATTTAAGTGTGTTAGTCCCTCAGAAATATATATAACTTAGATTATTTAAAGTGAATGAGTGATAAATGAATTTATAGTTTTTAAGAGTAGCCTTTTAAAACAATCAAGAAGACAATAGAGAGATATAAAAGGAATTTTTTTATTACACTACTAGTTAAAAGTTGTAATTTATTTAGTTCGACTCGCGTTTAATCGAAGAATGTTCAAAAAAAATATACCTCTTTAAAAACAGGTTCCTAATTACTAAACTAAAAACAAACTTTAATGTTTTCCAACAAACTAAAATCTATTCTGCGGAAAACTATACATTTATTTGGGCCATGAAATTTGATTTGATGTGATCTGGGAAATAATAATGCTCTAAAAATGTGATGTATTAAATATAAATAAACAAATAGTTTTTTAAGGAAAAACGTATATTTGCTGTCACCAGTATTTACTAAATAATATTTAGTTTATTTTTAAAGAAATCGTTTCTTAATCGTATACAACGAAAATGAATCTATTTGTTAGATAATGCAACAATAATATTAAAATACTTTGGCACTTCCGGTAATCTGAATTTTTGTCAAGTCTCATGTTCGTGATCCATTGGTTCTATTTTCTTGTTACATTTTTAATGCATCACCCATTTAATAGAGGCCCTAAAGACTTAATCTGGGCAAGTTTCTGAAAACAACATTTTTATACCCGTTACTCGTAGAGTGAAAGGGTATATTGTATTCGTGCAAAAGTATGTAACAGCTAGAAGGAAGCGTTTCCGACCCTATAAAGTATATATATTCTTGATCAGGGTCACTAGCCGAGTCGATATAGCCATGTCCGTCTGTCCGTCTGTCCGTCTGTCCGTCTGTCTGTCCGTATGAACGCTGAGATCTCGGAAACTATAAAAGCTAGAAGATTGGCATTTTGCATGCAGATTCTAGGAGTTCCTACGCGGTGCAAGTTTGTTTCAAAAAGGTGCCACGCCCTCTTTAACGCCCACAATAGCTTATATATGATTTTAAAAATTTAAATATTTCGGAAAAGTATATTCGTCGAAAAGTTATGCGTGATCAAAGTTTCTATCTCCTTCTCCCTCGCACTCCCATTACCTGAGTAACGGGTATCTGATAGTCGGGGCACCCGACTATAGCGTTCTCTCTTGTTAAATATGATTTTTATTCGTTAGCAGCACGAAAACTACTGGTAAGAATTATAAACAATCGGAGTAATCGGAAGAGGTTTTAGTGTCTGCTGCGCTAGATTTGAAAATATTTCTCTATTTGATTTGGAGTTTTTTAAGAAAATTTAATTCAAATAATAATAATAACATATTTTACTGTTCTCTTTGTTCCACTTTCTAAAGCAAAAAAGCACAACATCTTATGTTTCTAAAGCAAAAAAGCACAACATCTTATGTTTTATCACACGCTTATGTTGGGTTTAGTAAAACACTAATGATCCCAAAAATATGCTAATCAAAGACATAAATTAAAAACAGAACAGGTTTTCTGCTGGGCTCAGCTACCGTATAAATATCACAGATGTGAAGCTGTGAAGTCACATTTTTATAAAATGATAAGAATCGTAATTTTTCAATTTTTATGTTAATTTTCTGAAAAACACACGAACAGAATACGTATTCAGCACCCTGGAATTTAGTAGAAGAGTATAATTTTCTATAGCAGGGCATGTTATAAATGTTCCTCACCTTACGCCATTTTGTGACTAATTGCAATTAATTTTATAAAATACAATTTTCCTTACTAACTAAATTATGTTTTCTAGCATATTCTGTTAAAAAATGTAAATCGTTACGTTTTTTATTTTTCGGCAGTGACTATTGTTTGTATGCTAATTTTTCCCCAAGGGGCGGGGTATTTTGAGTTTTTGTTGGCGTCTGTCGGCCGTCTGTTGGCTGTCTGGCCACTATAAAAGCCGGGCCCTGGGGCATTGGTTATTAAGTTTGTTAAGTCACTTCGATCAAGCAGATCATCATGAAGGTCTTCGTCGTTCTCGCCGTAATCCTGGCCGTGTCCGCTGCTGCCCCGCAGTTTGGAGGTGGCAGTGCCAACGCCAACGCCAATGCCAAGGCTGAAAGTCAAGGTGGCTTCGGAGGTCGTCAAGAAGGATACGGAGGCGGATTTGGAGGAAGACCAGGAGGACCAGGATTCGGAGGAGGACCAGGATTCGGAGGAGGACAAGGATTCGGAGGAGGACCAGGATTCGGAGGAGAACCAGGATTCGGAGGTCCAGGCGTAAATCGCGGACCAGGGGGACCTGGCGGATTTGGAGGACAACGCGGACAAGGCGGACCAGGTGGATTCGGAGGACCAGGACAAGGTGGATTCGGAGGACCAGGACAAGGTGGATTCGGAGGACCAGGACAAGGTGGATTCGGAGGACAAGGCGGACAAGGTGGATTCGGAGGAGGCAATGCTAATGCTAATGCTGTTGCCAATGCTGAGGGAAACGGTTTCGGGGGTGGAAATGCTAATGCCAATGCCAATGCCAACGCCAACTCCCGCGGTGGTGGTGGTGCTAATGCCAATGCCAATGCCAGTGCTAGCTCTAGCGCCTTCGGTAAATAAGCTGCGATTGCGATACGAATTTTTCAACTGATTAGTTTCTTAATATTCAGAAAATATAACAATAAATAAAAAAAAGTACCAAAACATAAGTTGTAGAAGCCTCTATTTTATATTGGTCCAGGGAGTGTTAATCTTGGCAAGTGCATATGATTTTACAGATTTAAAGTGTGTTGGCCCTTCTAAAATATATAATACTCAGTTCATAAAAATTGATTAAGTAAAAAATGAATTTTGAGATTTTAAGAGTGTTGGCCCTTTAAAACAACGGAGGAGGTAATAGAGAAAAATAAGGTTTTTTTCTTTTATTACACTTCTTTTTAGAAGTTGTAACCTAATTAGATACATTCACGATTTTTCGGAGAATGTATATCCGTCGCTGCTGTTTGTTCATATGAAAAATATACCTCTCTCGGAAATAATCATGCTCTGGAAATGTGATGTATTAAATCTATATGATGAATACATACTTTTTAAGGCCAAACGTGTATTTTATGTCACCAGTATTTACTAAATACAATTTTAGTTTGTCACTTCTGCCAAAAAAGAACCGGTCAGGTGAATTTTTATCATGTCTCATGTTTGTAATACGGAAAAGGTTTTAGTGTCTGCGGTGCTTGAATTGAAAATGTAAAAAAAAGTAATTTATGGATTGTTAAAATTAAGTACCTAGATGAAAAAAATTGAGTTTACAGAATAAATAAATCATCTTTATACGTAAATATTGTATTTCTGTTCTCTGTGTTCCACTTTCTAAAGCAAATAACATGAAATCTAAAAACTGTATGGTTATGTTTAAGCAGGCGCTTATGTTTTGTTTAGTAAAACACTAATGATGCAAAAATATGCTAAAAACTTTGGCAAATCAAAGCCATAAATTAACAAGAAAGGAAAGCTAACTTCGGGCGGAGCCGAAGTTGATATACCCTTGCAGAATACTCTGTAAATTATATTCTCCAAAATTATTCATATGATGCATTCTTAATACTCATAAAAAATCCGAACTTCCTAACTTTAACAACAACAAAGTTATGGCATTTCCAATCGTTCAGTTATATGGCAGCTATAGGATATAGTCGGCCGATCCTTATGAAATTTGGTAGGTCGGATTGATTGGCCAAAAATAAAATCCATAGAAAATCCCAACTTCCTAACTTTACAAACACCAAAGTTATGGCATTTCCGATCAATCAGTTATATGGCAGCTATAGGATATAGTCGGCCGATCCTTATGAAATTTGGTAGGTCGGATTGATTGGCCAAAAATAAAATCCATAGAAAATCCCAACTTCCTAACTTTACAAACACCAAAGTTATGGCATTTCCGATCAATCAGTTATATGGCAGCTATAGGATATAGTCGGCCGATCCTTATGAAATTTGGTAGGTCGGATTGATTGGCCAAAAATAAAATCCATAGAAAATCCCAATTTTCTAACTTTACAAACACCAAAGTTATGGCATTTCCGATCAATCAGTTATATGGCAGCTATAGGATATAGTCGGCCGATCCTTATGAAATTTGGTAGGTCGGATTGATTGGCCAAATATAAAACCCATAGAAAATCCCAACTTTCTAACTTTACAAACACCAAAGTTATGGCATTTCCGATCAATCAGTTATATGGCAGCTATAGGATATAGTCGGCCGATCCCGGCCGTTCCGACTTATATACTGCGTGCAAAGGAAAGAAGGGTGTGTGCAAAGTTTCAATCCGATAGCTTTAAAACTGAGAGACTAGTTTGCGTAGAAACAGACAGACGGACAGACGGACAGACGGACAGACGGACATGGCTATATCAACTCAGGAGGTGATCCTGATCAAGAATATATATACTTTATAGGGTCGGAGATGTCTCCTTCACTGCGTTGCACACTTTTGACCAAAATTATAATACCCTCTGCAAGGGTATAAAAACAGAACAGGTTTTCTGCTAGGCTCAGCTACCGTAGAAATATAACAGATGTGAGGCTGCGAAGTCACAGTTTTTCAAAAATGATCAAAATCGTACTATTGTGGTTAGTTTTCTAAAAAGAAACCGACGAGCAGAAATATTTTCGTATTCCGCACATTTTTGTACTTGAAAAAGTATAATTTTATACAGCACACTGTTTTACAAAAATATACTAATTAATCTATAAAGACTGACTTAATAGCAATTATATATACAAAAAAATTGTTACTACTAAATAAATGGTGTTTTCTAGTATATTCAGTTAAAAAATTGAGATCGTTGAGCTTGCAAATAAAAGTGGTTCTCTATAATATTACGATTTACAATAAATATAGTTCAACAAAATGTATGTTTTTCGGATGCGTTTAAAATAAAGAATATTAAATTTGTCAAGTTTTTATCAAAGTTTTTATTTCCCTTAAAGTTTTATCAAAGGAGGGACTTTCAAGACCATTTTGGAAAGCGGAAAACAAAAGTCTTCACCCACTTAGAAGAAATTAAAAATGAACTGTTGAGATTAACTATTTGAAATTTTCAAACTCCTTCAATTTAACATATGTATTTTTGTATAAAGACAAAATTTAAAATTTGCGTTACTACTAGTAGGAATTGCGAATGAATAAATATTTTTCCCATTTTAAATAAGTGCTTAAAAGTATAAGAATTAAAAAAAAATGTTGGTAAAAATTTTGTTTCAATACAATTAAAATAAACAAGACTGAAGTTTTTCATTTTTTACTAAGAAGATTTTAAGACTTTGGAGCTCCGTAAAACCTATCCGTAGTAATATAGGTGTGATAAATTTAAATTTTTTTATATTTTCAACAAATTTTATACAATGGGAATATATTAGTGCGGCCGACTTTCTAAAATTCATTAAATAAAGAAAACAAATAACGCTTTTTCGTTGTATTTGAGGATGAGGTTGGTTTTTGCTTAGCAAAAACGAACTATGCTAATTAATTAAATAAACTAGAGAAGAACGGGTTTTATACTATCAGTATAAATGTAGTTTTTAAAAATTTTACGTCATTTCATCTTTAAATTATGCCCAAAGTATAGCGATAAACCTGCCCATATACCAAAAAAGAGAACAACACTTATAGTTTTCGCAAAACAAATTCAGCATTTTATTTTTTTAAAGAGTGAAGCTTCATATCGGAAGGCCTGTCTGAAGACGTGCCCTTTTTTTTGTTGAGGCTGTTACGAGAGATCAATTTCGTCTCTATTTGGAACCTATCCTCGGGAACCATGGCCGCCGCCTCCCTGGGAATTGGACACAGCGTTTGCGGTGGCTGTGGCGCTGGCGGATGCTGGGCCACCTCCTTGGTTTTTGGCATTGGCAGTGGCACTGGCGTTAGCAGTGGCACTGGCACCACCGGGACCAGCCTGTCCACCGTGTCCACCGAAGGATCCACCCTCTCCACCGGTATTATGACGATTTGGATGGGCCTGAACGGCCACCAGGGCAAAGATCAGAAAAATGTAGATGGCCAGGAACTTCATCTTTGGAACTTGATGTGCCCTCTGAGCGCGTGCCTTCGTCTTTTATACTCTCAGAAATGAGTTCGTTTTTTTTTTGTATAGAAGAATAAACATAAAAAAAAATAAAAACAGATTGTGACTATTATACTGGTTTTTGGGCTACAGCAGAAGCTTACAAAAACATAAGTTTATAGAAGTGTAGCAAGTTTTTAGGGTGCCTCTGATCCATTTTTTGACGTCATAGAAGCTTTAAGTTATGCCCAACGCATGTCCAATAAAAAAATCAACAGTTGTGATTTGCGAGAAACCTATTTAGCATTTTAATATTTAACTAGTTTCGGTAGCGCTGCACCTCGGAAGGCATGTCCGGGACGTGCCCACTCTTCAGGCAGTTTGGAGGGCTCGGATCCGATCCTCACTGGGATCTATCCTCGATCTCTGCGTCCTCCGTGTCTCCCGTGTCCTCCGTATCCTTCATCGCCTCCAGAGGCGTTGGCCTCAGCGTTTGCCGTGGCAGAGGCGGAGGCAGGACCACCTCCGTAGCTTGTGGCCGCGGCGTTGGCGTTGGCGTTGGCCGAGGCACCACCTGGATTGGGATTGGCTTGGACGGCCACCAGGGCCAGGATCAGGAAAATGCAGATAGCCAGGAACTTCATCGTCGGAGCTTGCGATGCACTGTGAGCGTTGGCCGGCTTCTTTTATACCAGCAGTCGCAACAGGTGGCTTAGACTTGTTTAGCAAAAACAAAAGGGGAACAAGCTTATTGCCATTATCCGTACATATATAGGGGGTTCCGTTTAGCACATTAATTAGGCATATATTAAAATCGCATGACGTTTCTTATTATTTACTGAACATTTATTATACGACCAATAATTGAAAACAGGTTAGCTTTGAGGAGATCTCAGATATAAAGTTAAATAAAGCATATTTCTAGGCAGTTTATAAATGTCGATCATTCAATTAGCTTAAGAAGGATCTTTATGCGTTAGAGTAACGGCATGTCTTTTGAATTTGCTTTAAAGCTATTTGTATCGGAATCTTATACTGTCGCAGAACTCACACTTCTGTTTTAATAGCAAACACAAACCCTAATCGCGCAAATCTGCTTTAAAAGTGCTTTAAAATTTAAAAAAAAAGATAATGTTTAAAAAAATAAGTAAAACTGTAAGAACTGATGTTTAAGAACATTAAACTTTTAACAATAATAATATGTAGACTTATTAATTCGATTTGTTTCCATTCAAATATACTTGTGCCAAAACAATTTGCCTACCAAAGGACAAGAGAAAATCCATTCTAATAGCAAACCAAGTATGATCAAATTTGAAAATTTATAATAAATGTGGGTTCCCCAAAGTTTAGTTATTTTTGTGAGCAATAGGTTTCTTATAATTATTTCTCAGAATTATCGCTCATCAAACTAATATAGTTTCAAGTGTTTGAGCCGATTAGTAGATGGTTATGGCACAATTGCTGTTTTGTGTCCTTGTGAAACTGTATAAGCAACAAAGTTTCAAATTATTCGCATTAATCTTTAAAAATTAATAGCTTGTATATTTATCCCTATCGACCTTCCAAAAGCGTTAGAGAAAACAATCTGATAAACAGTTTTAACGTCACAGACTTTCGACCAAAATAGATATACATTCTGCACCAATGTAAGATTAGAAAATATGCAGTTTTGCAAGCATTTTATTTTTTATTGGAAGACAATTATTATGTTGCGCAGACACAAATCTATCTACGCAGTGTGTTCATTTAGTTGTTCGTTGATTTCTTGATAATTTCTGAATTTTATCCTCGGTATCCTCCGTAGCCTCCTGGACCACCGTAGCCTCCTGGACCACCGTAGCCTCCTGGACCACCGTAGCCTCCGGGACCTCCTTGGTAGCCTCCTTGGCTACCGGCGTTAGCGCTGGCGCTGGCGGTGGCCGTGGCCTGAGATTGGCCACCACCTCCGTAGTAAGGCTGTTGGTAGCCACCGGGTCCTCCGAAGCCATTGTTTCTGTGGTGACCAGGCTTGGCCTGGACTGCCACCAGAGCAAGGATCAGGAAAGCGCAGAGTGCATAGAGCTTCATCGTGGGTGTTTGTTGTGCCATCTGGGCGACTGTGGGGCTCTTTTATACACACATCTGGAGCTAATGTGGATCGGGACTTGGACCAGTTCTCGGATTTATTTATGGCAGCCGCTATTAGCGAATGCAAATCGTATTTTTAATTGTTCCCAATACAGTTATTCACCAATTTCTTTATTTTCAAGTATTTATTATGAAATGCATTCGAAACTGGTTTGACCTGAAGGCTTTTGTTTGTTTTCAATCATTTTATTTTGTATGCTAATTCGTAAAACAAATAAAATGCATATTATTGTGACAGAGTCAGGTTCTTTTTTTGGAGCGATGTGGGATATCCCTCCTTTTTTTGTCTTAATAATACTTAATTTGCTTAGAGTAATTATGTGTCATTTGTTTATGTCATTCAGTTATGGGTATGAAACAATAGTCCACAAAATACAGCCAAATTTCAAAAGGGAGAATTCTAAAACATTGATACAATATAAATAATAAAATATTGTATTTTCCTTAAAGTGTGGCATAGTTTTCGGCTTTGTCTTTGGCATTTAAATTTAGCAGAAATAGGGTTGGTAAAATCACAATAAAATGTTTTATTTTAATCTTATTTGCTAAATGCTCTACCAAGCACTCTTGAAAATCCTACTCCCATGAATAATTGAATATTGTTGGATAAGTATTTAAATACTATCTTTCCATTATGACTAGTAATTGTGGACTGCTATAATTATAAAACTTACTCTTTTAAATATCCGCTCTTAAACATCTCTTCCATGGCGTTTCCCACATCTTTTAGCAAATGTGACTAACTGTTTGGTAATGTACATCCCATGGCCTAGAGTGGAGTTAGTCAGCTAGTTAAATAAACAAACCAAATCGATCAGCCGAAAAAAAAACCCGTATCGCCAAAACCTTCGATCCGCATTCATTCGATTCACATTCAACATGCAGTTTAGCGCCTGCTGCTCAAGTTCAAATGGAAATTAGCGGTTGGTGTTTATTTAATAGCCGAATGCTTTCAAATTCCAGCGAGAGTATGGTAAAGCGAACGTGATACTCATTGCAAAACCCCAAAAAAGCCCAGTGCCCCTTAATCGATGTGCTGACGATGGGCGATCGATGAATGAATAATATCCCAGGAGACCCAAACCCATGGACCTGACCAGACCAAACAAGTCGACCTGGCTGGACCACGTGTCTGTCTGTCGGATTGTCTGCGTCCATGCCGGAACATGAAAGTCCAAAAATGTATGACGACAACTCTTGGGGCTGTTGCCGGTTTTTCATTTTTTTTTTTTACCTCAGGTGGGCAGCGATCAACTTGTGGGCTTGGGCTGCTAAATGTCTGAGCTTGAAGTTCGCTTGATTTCTTGGGTGCGCTGCTTTAACGATTCACAACATGAATCATAATCAGTAGATTGGTTATGAAAGAACTCTGGATGCTCTATTTACAGTGTTTTTTTAATAAATATATTCGATAATGTTTGAAGGCACTCCCCATTTGTTTCTTTCCGAGAATTAATCTTAAGCACTACCATATTAGAGTATCTCAACGCTGACCTTTTCCGATCACATTTCGTTGATGCAATATTGTGTCACTCTTGAGTTGATATTTGCGTATCAACAATGCTTAAAAGACCTACTAACGCTTTGTGCAATCGCCAAAGCAAATGCGAAACGGAAGATGGTTGTTCATGTTTTATTTATAATTTATAAAATCGTTTATCTCCAGCATTTCTCTGTCATTTTTGTCATTTGGCAGACAGTACACAATTTTGCACAATATTATATTTGTTTTGTTTCACGTCTTTTCGGATTTGTATCTTCTTACGCAGCGTTGGCTTTTTGGTTTATCACACTGTGCTGGGGACCGTCGAATGAAATTTAAATATTATTGTTTATAACTCGTTTAGAATTGAAAATTGCCTAAAACGAACCGAGCATCAATCGCTCAATGTCTCCCTCTCCCCCTCTTCTCCGCATTATGGCAAGTTGTCCGACCTTGACAAGGTCGCGTTCTCGGTGGCACCACCACTACAAAGCACCACTCACGAGCGGTTGGTCCGCACCACCGACGAATAGCCGTAGAGCACCTCCACTCCGTCCGAGTTGAAGATCCGCTCCACTCGCGGAGCTCGCGTCTGAACTGGACGTTCAGTGGTGGTTGAGGTGGTTGTGGTGGTTGGAGCACTGGTGGTGCTGGTTGTGGTTGTTGGAGAACCTGTGGATGTGGTCTCCGGAGCACTTGTGCTCGTCTCTGGCTGAACATTGAGCAGTGTCTCCACCTTGGTGGTCAGTAGGGCAGCTTCAGTGGTGGTGGTGGTGCTGGGAGCCTCAGTGTTTGTGGTGGTGCTAGGAGCTTCAGTGGTGGTGGTGGTGCTAGGAGCTTCTGTGGTGGTAGTGGTGCTAGGAGCTTCAGTGCTTGTGGTGGTGATAGGTGCTTCAGTGGTGGTGGTTGTGCTAGGAGCTTCAGTGGTGGTAGTGGTGCTTGGAGCTTCTGTATTGGTGGTGGTGGTGCTAGGAGCTTCTGTAGTGGTGGTGGTGGTGCTTGGAGCTTCAGTGGTGGTGGTGGTGCTAGGAGCTGGAGTTGTGGTTTCCTCGGCCTCTGTGGTGGTTACGGGTGCTAGGGGAGATGAAACCAGCGGCACTTCTGCGTAAAGAAGAGTTATTTAGTTAAATGATCTTTGGCAATGGATTAAAATAACTCAAGAAGGAGTTAGTTTCTATACATCTTCTTTTAATATTGATATATTAAAATTTAACGCACCTGTGGTTTCCTCTATCGCAGGTTCTGAGGAGGCTACTTCTTCATTTATTGTCGGCACCTCAGTGGTAAGTTGAGGTTGTAAAGCTTCTACTATCGGATCTGCATTTTTAAATAACTGGTAGAGTGGCACCACCGTGGTTTCCACCGACTCCTCCTGACCTCCCTCACTTCTGGGCCTCGAACTCTCCTCCACCAAAGCGGCATCGGTGGTCACAATGAAGGACAGCTCTTTGGGCTCCTCGGGTGGTGAATTCGTGGTGGTCTCCATTCGGTTCTCGGCCATGTCCAGATCGACCTCTTCCATTTCCGCTGGCTTCCGCTCGAAGAAGTTCCTCATGGTCTTCACCTCCTCATATTCGGTGGTTTCTTCGGTCTCGGAAAAGCGGGTGGTTGGCCCGTCCAGTGGTATGGTGGTTGTGATAGCTCCTGGACTGCCGGTAGTGGTTACAAAACTGGGTGGCAGTGTGGTTGCTCCAAACTTAAAGGTGAAGCTTCTCTTGGTGGTGCTGGTTGTGTTCACTGAATTTGCTGGCTCGGTGGTTGTTGTGGTCTCAGTCTTGGACTCCGATTCCGACTCCAATTCCGATTCCGATTCCGATTCAGGCACTTCGGGATTCTTGAGCCGCTCTTCCTGTAGTCGCTCCATCTCCAGTTGCTGCAGCACCGAGTCCGGAAGTGGTTCCTCCGTCAAAACCATCGGACTGGCCTCCGTGAAGCTCTCGCCCTCGGGACTGGTGGTCAGTATCACATCCGAGTCGACGTCCACCGTGATGGTTCCCTCCTCCACGGACATGTAAGTGGACTCCTCGAGGAGATGGGGCTCCTCGGTGGTGTCAGGATCCGGCGAAATGGTGGTTCTCTGTGGTGCCGCTCTCGCATTTATGGCCACTGCGATCAGCAGCAGAATGGCAAAGGTTCGCAGCATTTTCGGTGCACTTCTTTTTGGTATTCGCGGAATGCGAGGCGGTTCAGTGGCTCGCTGGCAATGAATCAATATCAGTCGAGTGTGGTTTCAACTCGCCGAAAGCTACGTTCACTTTGGCTCAGAAAAACTTGCTCCTGTCTCCAAAAGCTTTCTGGGTATTTTGCGCTCTCTCTATTTCTGCAGAGAAAAAATTATTATGCTTTAACGATCATGCCAAAAAAAACAGGCTTTTAATATGTATTAAACAGTCTTTAAAATTCCTAATGTAAGAGTTTCGGATTATTGGGTGTTTATGTAATACCTATAAAGACAGCTTGTAATGTCCAAAAATAATTTTATTTTTGCGATCCATAAAAAGGAGTTATTGGCTGATTTTTAAGAATTTAGTAGACAAATTTAAATTCAGTGTTATTTGTTATCCAAATTTGCTGATATGGTTATACTTTTATTTTTAAAAATAAGAATCACTGTAGTCCTTGTGAACTTTTAAATAACTCCATGTGACGGAGCCTCATTTATATTTATTTTTTGAAACTTGATAGTTCTTTGTTCGAATATTTCACTCTTTTCATCACTTTTAAAACACTTTTTTCTTTCTATGCTGCCACTTCATTTAAGGTACCCCTTATTTAAATTCGAAATTGCCATTTTGGGTTGAAAGTGATCGTTTTTTGCTGTGTGCCTCTACCTCAGACTGTAGCTCTGGCGTTTAACTGGTTCACTCGGGGCTGCTGGCTTCCGCTCCACGTTGTTGTGACTAGTTTTGTTTGCGGCGAGGAACTAAACCGTTTGCAGCTCCGGCTCGGGCTTTTAAGCCGTTTGAAAACTGTTCCCTGTGCGGGCTTGGGTTTCGGCCAGGGTTTTGTTTCTGGTGGCTCAGCTGCGGAGCCAACTGCTCCTCAGGTTCGGCCTTTTTGATGGACCTGAAGTACTGGTGGCCGGCGAAACAAAACGATGAGACAAAACGCCGCGCACTTGGCCCAGAAACATCTCCTAAATGGCACTTCCCCCGTCTCCAGTTCAATTTCACTTTCAACGCACTCACCTGTGCTCACTTCTGATATTGATTTTGCTTTCCGAAGTTGCGGCTTTTCAGTTTGGCCCGGAGTGGCAAACCGGTATGGTATGGCAATTAGTTGGTTACAACTCGACGGCCTCTCATAATTCGCGGTTATTCAACGCTCTGCTCCGATACGCTCGTGTATCTGGCAATTGATATTAAACTAATTTGATCAGAACCAATAGAGCTCTTTGAGTCATGTCCATTGTCTTGGCCTGAAAGAGTCTCTGATTGCCGGTTGAATGATCGCCGTAATTGCGTCGAAACGAGATAGCTTTGAGTTAAGGAATGCTTAAAGCAAACCACTCTATTCTTTTAAACATAAGCAAAACTTATATTTTCCAGCTATTGATTTGTTTGGTCAACTGAGATCGGAATTTCTGCTGGTTTTGCATATATCCCATTTCTCTTGAATCCAAACAAACTATTTTGTGAAGAAATGTGTACTTTGTGTATACAAATATTAAGTGCTTTATTGCTTTTACTATTAGTGAGTGCCGATTTCTTGTTATATTTTGTATGTAAATTATTAAGATATATTTATAGGTTTATTAGCGTGTTAAATCGTGAAGCATTGCCGAAATTAAACAAGCGATTATGAGAGCAAACGCCTTAGTTTCGTTTTCATAAGCGGTTTTACTAAACACAGTTCCAGTTTTAGTTCCAGTTTAATAATTTTATGCCAAGAGCAAACTTAATCCCCTGATCTATTTCCGGTGCTCTGAAAAAAATGTATAATATAAAATACAATTTGATGGAAGAAACGCTTCGAATAAAAGTGTTTAACAAAAAACGTTCTTAAACTTTTTGTAAATATTTTTTATTTTTCTAACTAGTTTTGTTTAAGCTTTTCTGCTTAATGCTATTTATGTGAGTGTTTGACATTTTTCATAAAAGCAACCTTAAAGAATGCCTGGGGATTTTGTCATTGTTATACACTTGAGAGTGAGTCAACTTCATAGCGGAATTCCAGAGCAGCAATAATATTCAATGTTGTTATTTTCTGGCCAATTTCATTTGAAATTTTAATGTACTTCCTTACATTCCTCTTATCTTTCCGGTGGTCATTGCTATTAAACGCGTAAATTCCCCCAACAACTTTGACCTCGCAAATTGATTCCCCTGAAACAAATTGCGTAAGTCATTCCAAAGAAAAACTTTCATAATTAGTTCTTATCGAACCAGAAAAGCGACCACGAAACTCTCGTTTGCGGCCAACTTGGACCACAACATAAATATGGTTGACCATAAGGACAAGTTTTATGTCAACTCGACAGAAAATGTCTTTTGGACGTGGTTGAGAATCTTAACATCTTGCCACCACCAATGGCGATAAAAGCACTAACAACTACAACTGTCAAGTACGAAGGACAATAACAATAAACTGGCCACTATTGAACTACAGTGAGGTCTCGCTAAGTGGAGTTTTCTGAATAACTAAACATTCCTTCCCCTACATATAAACAATTAAATACAATAAGTTAATTCCTTGTTCTACATATAAACATTTAATATATTGTGATAAATTTATTTGCTTATTATTTTAAAAACAAGAGAGAACGCTATAGTCGGGTGCCCCGACTATTAGATACCCGTTACTCAGCTAAAGGGAGTGCGAGGGAGATGGAGATAGAAACTTTGATCACGCATAACTTTTTAACGAATGGTCCGATTTGAAAAATTTCTTCTACATTTCGATCGGTATTGATAAACACAATAAAACTGCATTTTTACTTTTCCGAAATATTTAAATTTTTAAAATCGTATATAAGCGATTGTGGGCGTTAAAGGGGGCGTGGCACCTTTTTGAAACAAACTTGCGCTGCGTAGGAACTCCTAGAATCTGCATGCAAAATGCCAATCTTGTAGCTTTTATAGTTTCCGAGATCTCAGCGTTCATACGGACAGACAGACGGACAGACGGACAGACAGACGGACAGACGGACAGACGGACATGGCTATATCGACTCGGCTAGTGATCCTGATCAAGAATATATATACTTTATAGGGTCGGAAACGCTTCCTTCTAGCTGTTACATACTTTTGCACGAATACAATATACCCTTTAACTCTACGAGTAACGGGTATAATGAACACATTTATTTTTGTTACCTTAATAAAGTGGTGTGCTTGAAACTGATTGTATAGTCTATTTAAGGTTTTTGAATAGCTCAGCGAAAGTGTTTGGTTGATAAAACAGTAAATGCCGCTCACTTTCTTGGGGGCGTGGCCTGCCTAATATGATTTATGTAATGATTGGAGAGTGTTGCTAGCTTAAGTCCTGCCAGTCACTGGTCGTGCATACCCAGCAGACACCTTTAGCCAACTTCAATAACATCATTAGGGCCAAAAGGAAGGAGGCTGCTGGCACTCACTTAAATTGAGCTCCTGCCGTCAAAATACCGGACACAAAGGCCACTTGGCAGGCGGCCAACGTAAATATGACTTATAAAATGCTCTCGAAAAAAGACTTTTTGGCAAGCAAATTAGTTTGCTAAACTGATGATGGAGCTGCCTGGCTGGCTGGCTCTCAGCACTTTGCCGAAATATTTATGCTAAATATGCCAAGTTGAAGGGAAGGTGATGAATTGAGAATTCAATTTTCCTCGGCGGCTACTTCGAGTGTAAACAAAGTATTAATCATACGCCCTGTGGGCAGAGCCAGCCCAACGAAGAAGAAGTCATTAGCAGGCAGCCGGGAAATGACTTGAAATCATTATTATTAAAGTGCCAGCCGACTAAAATCAAAGTTGGGAGCACTTTCAATTTGGCCAAGGAGAAATGTAATTTAAATACCAAGTGAAATAAGCTTTTAGCCCGATCATAATGGGAGCTCTTCTCCAATTTAAATGCTGCGGAAAATCATTAGGAAAACATTTCGCATGCAAATTCGGTTCCGTACAAATGTAATTTTCCTCATCGATTTGCCCGGACTTTGAAGTGTCGCCAGTGGCAATTTGTCCGGAGGGCGTGGCACTTTATTGCTTAACGATTACGACCGCTTCATTGGCTCCTGACGCTAATGTTTATTTCTAAATTACTTCAAATGGAAATGCAAATTCCCTCTGATGCCGGAGTAAAATCAATCAATTCGGGGTGGAGCTGCCAGTGTGTGCTTGGAAAATGGCAACATTGTTTTTACCTCATTACTTTGTAATCAATAGGCTCTCTCGCAAACTTTATTCTCCGGCACAAAAGTCACTTGTGGGGCTCCGATTCCGTTTCAGTAGCTCTTCATTCCAAAGAACTTGAAACTCTGTTTATTTTTTTAATTTCCATTGCAAGCAAGGGCTTATTTCGCCATTGTTCACAAAACGAAACAATAGAAACGGGCAACTCGAAACGAGCATTGTAATTGTATTACAAAAAATTATTATTGTATAAATGGCAAAATAAAAACGAATGAAAAGCCTGTGCGCTGTCTTTTGTCTTTTCTGTAAATTCAATTATCGAATCAGAGCGAAATGAAAATCAGAGATGGTCGATATTAATATACATACGCATGTATTTACATATTAATCCTTAATTAAAAAGCTTCACTTAATTGTTGGGCATTGTGTTGACAGAGAAATATTAATTTAAGCTTTTCAGCGCAACGTTTTTTTCTTCTTTCAGTTAAAAGCAGTAATAAGTATCGGCTTAATAATTTCGCAAAAATGGAGTTCATCTACTGGGGTGCTATTATTAACAAATCAAGGTTCTTGGACCCTTAAATTAACAGCAAATAATCTGATTAATATGATTGGTGTGCCAGCTAAAGGATATAAGTATTGGACTTAGCCATCATTTTTCTACCATTTATCTAAAATTTATCTACCTAACTTATCTATTAACTATCTACCAAAAGTTTTAATACCTCAATATATCATTACATCCTCCAATATTAATGTGTATTTAAATTCTTAACTTAACCAAAAACAAAATGATTAACTTGATTGCTGTGTCAGGTGAAGAATTTACACATATATCTGTTATAATTACTCTACAATACTATTTATTATCCTTAAACATGATTGTCTTACGTTGAAGGAGCATTGGCTTTAACCAAACGAGCCAAAGTTCATCCCAAATACAAGTTGATTTAATAAATTATGATTTGCGGTTGATGTGCTCGTGTGTGTGCATCTATGGCGCTAATGACAGCCCCTGAAGGAGCTCCACAATATCATTATAAGCCAAAACTAATTCAGCAACAACCGAGGCAAAAGCCAACTACCAAGGCTTAGAGGGAGAAGGGAACAGGGCCGGAGTGAGATGGATAGACAAAAGCTAGTTGCACAGGCAAGAGCCACTAATTGACTTTAATTATTTTGTTGTACTTAATGTCTTGTTTACACGAGGAAAAGAAACATAGAGCTTGCGGAGAAAGGCGGTGGGGATCCGGGTCCTATGGGCGTGGCACTAACAAATCACTTGTTCATACTATAAAGGCAAATGAAAAGCAAAAATAGAGAGGAACCAGCAGCAGTGGCAAAAAATGACATCTGATGGATAGAAAAGTGCTAGATAGTTGGAAAGAATGTGAGCTGCACAGAAAGAAGAGTTTTAATCCATATTAAGGAGAAAATATTAAAACATATCAAAACAAGAAAGGAAAGCTAACTTCGGGCGGAGCCGAAGTTGAAATACCCTTGCAGAATATTCTGCAAATTATATTCTCCAAAATTATTCATATGATGCATTCTTAATACTCATAAAAAATCCCACCTTCCTAACTTTAAAAACACCAAAGTTATGGCAATTTCAATCGTTCAGTTATATGGCAGCTACAGGATATAGTCGGCCGATCCATATGAAATTTGGTAGGTCGGATTAATTGGCCATAAATAAAACCCATAGGAAATCCCAACTTTCTAACTTTACAAACACCAAAGTTATTTCATTTCCGATCAATCAGTTATATGGCAGCTATAGGATATAGTCGGCCGATCCTTATGAAATTTAATATGTCGAATTGATTGGGCAAAAATAAAACCCATAGAAAATCCCAACTTTCTAACTTAACAAACACCAAAGTTATGACATTTCCGATCAATCAGTTATATGGCAGCTATAAGATATAGTCGGCCGATCTTTATGAAATTTAGTACGTCGGATTGACTGGCCAAATATAAAACCCATAGAAAGTCCCAACTTCCTAACTTAACAAACAGCAGAGTTATGGCATTTCCGATCAATCAGTTATATGGCAGCTATAGGATATAGTCGGCCGATCCCGGCCGTTCCGACTTATATACTGCGTGCAATGGAAAGAAGGGTGTGTGCAAAGTTTGAATTCGATATCTTTAAAACTGAGAGACTAGTTCGCGTAGAAACAGACAGACGGACAGACAGACGGATAGACAGACGGACAGACGGACAGACAGACGGACAGACGGACATGGCTATATCAACTCAGGAGGTGATCTTGATCAAGAATATATATACTTTATAGGGTTGAAAATGTCTCCTTCACTGCGTTGCACACTTTTGACCAAAATTATAATACCCTTTGCAAGGGTATAAAAATAAAGATATCAAACAGGTTTGGATCAAGGAAATTAGAAACCGTAGACTTCAGTAACTCTATTTTAGTAATGCAATTAAATTATACAAAAAATAATTATTTCGTTAAGATTATATTTTTCACTCAATATTTCATTTGGAAATGCACTTTTTTTCCGTGTAGAAAGCAGAAGGAAAGCCCGTCAAAGTTAGTTAAAAGCGATGTGTAAACATGTGGGCTTAGCTTGGCGGGAAAAGAGCACCTCCATCTGCCTGTCTCTTTCTCTGCTTGTTTTGTCCCTTTCTTCCGGTGCATCCTCCTGCTAAACTTTAATTAAAGTTGAATTTGTGTCAGTTGTGTGCTTGCAACTGCGGTTGCATGTTTGTTTCGCCTGCTGCTAGTTGATTCTCTTCTTTGGTATCAACAACAAGGACTGACAAACAATAATTCCCTGCTTTATGAAAGGAGACTTACTGGAGCAAACGCAGCCAGGATCCTTAAATTAATTAAAGAATAATGAATGGGTTATATATATATAAATATTACTTTATTTTTCAGAATATTTAGATATTTTTATAAATTAGAAAACCTTAAAGATAGCAAAGAAAGTTAGTCCAGTTCAGAGTTCAATTTGTGCGCTCCTTTTTGGATAAGGAGGGGAAGCAAATCGACATAAGTCATCATGAATTCATATTAACTATTAAATTAAACGACTTAAAAGATGGTAAAGAAAGTTTGTCCAGTTCAGAGTTCAATTTCTGCGCTCAATTTTGAATAAGGAGCGGAAGCAATTCGACATTAGTCGACAAGAAGTCAGCCACCGACAGGAACTACAGGAACTGCATTTTTCATTTCCCTTCGGTTGCAGTCGGCCCAGAGGTAATATCACCTGAAAGTTGTGACTTTTATGCTGGTCCCACTCCCGGCCGTAATCCCATTCAGCTGCCACCCACTGTGTTTGTGTTTGCCTGTTTATTCAGCAACAGTGCGCGCGGTAAGTTTGCCTACAGTCGCAGACTGCGTTTTCTTTTCGCTAGTCGCTATTCGCCATTCGCCATTCGTTTCTTGTGACGCCGGTCGCCAGACGCCAAACGACGACAAATGAAGGCAATTCATTGGGCATGCGGCTTTAAGTTGTCGCTGCAAGTGCACAACTGCGGTCCGCAGGAGCTCCGGCTTTCCCAGTTCACATCCTGGTCTTGGATCTGCACTCAAAAAATTCCCCATTGAAATAAAATCAACTTTTCTTGGTAGGGGCATCATTACGTGAACTTTTAGGATACGATTATTACGAAACACAATCCGAAAATGAACTTGTTCAACTGAAATACACTAAGGCGTTGACTTTTATGTTAGAACTCATTCAGGTTTCCATGATATAATATGATTTTTATATTATTTAAAACAATAATTACAGAGGTAGCCATGTGATTTATTTATGTATTGCCTTATTCAATAGCTAGGTTTTTACAACAAGTAAGCACATGATTTAGGGAACGTTAATTATATTTTTACACTTTTTTAATATTATATATCCTTTAATTTCTTTTAAATTAATTGGCAAGACACACACATAGAGTCCTTAAGAAAATGATTTTTGTTTATTATTATTTTGTTTACAATTAATGGACATTACTTTAAGCCCGAAACGCTCTGTCCTGGTGATGTTGATCAACAAAATATACTCTTTGGTTCGGAAAGGTTTCCTTTTCTGCGTTCCAATATCTTTCGCAAAATAATAAAACCATATTTTAAGCCTTAACATAAATTCAAAGACCGTACAATATTTTTTGTTTAGTGTATTCTTGGTGCTGGTCCTGTGGCAACGACTCCTGCTGCGGCCAGGATAAAGTTTTGCGCCCGGCTGTCGAAATGAGTTGCGTTTTAAGTCGCAATTAAGCGTTGGTGCTGTTTGCTGCCTGTCTCCCGCTCTTCTTGGAATATTTCCCAGCTTTCGACCAATTCAAGCTACTGGGGCGGAATAAAATCACAGTGGCTTTTTTAATGGCGATATAAGAAACTCTGTATTTGGTCCTGCATTTCGGTATTGGAAATATCACAATTAAAATCAATTCCTGACCTCAGTTGACAACGTTATTTTAAAAATTTGGTATGCCATCAGGCGAAATCGGAAAAACAAACGAAATCATTGCATACTTTTTGTTGCTGCCAATAAAGCAGTTAAACTACACTATAGATTTTAAAAAGTTTTTATGCTTTACTGATTGAAAAAATTAAAACTTAAATAGATAAAATAAAGTATACGTTAAACGTAGTTTTCGGGATATGTAAAATAAATCATAGTGTCGTTCAAGGCATAGCAAAAATACTTTTATGATTCCCATTTAAAAACACAAATATATTCTTCTTTAGGTAAATTTATTAATTTCCAAATTAAATTCATAGTTTCTCATTCTCTCATGAGTCCAGAGTATTAAACTAAAACCCATCTTTAGTGTGACAAGCTGGCTTAATATTATATATAAAAAGCTCTGCTCCTTTCAGCTTTACGAGTTGATTACCCCAAAGACACACAAAAACTCGCTTAAATTTTTCTTAAAGTATTTCTTTTATTAAACATAAACGTACATTTAAAGTTACTCATAAATTTGTACACATAAATTAAAGTATTGAGAGTAGCACAGAAGACGGATCGAACAATTCTGGTGAAAAAAGTGGCCGTGTCAAAATTGGGGCTCTCTGTGGGATGGTTGTTGGATGCATGGGAATGGATTGCGCCTGAGTGATTGCACCTGAGGTCCTCCAGCTGGAGGTCCTGGCGATGCTGCGATCGGTAGATTGTTAAAAATGTCATCACAGTCATATGAAATTGGAACGAAAAGAGCAGGGCCGGGTGGCATCAAAGTCACGCCGGAACCTCCGTTGCGGTTGCGGTGGTCAGGACCTCATCCTCCTCCTCCTCCGTCGTCGTCGTCGTCGGGGGCGTGGCCGTGGTTGGAGCAGCAGGAGGAGCCATGGTGGTGGCTCTGGCCAGCATCTCCAGGCCCAATCCGTGGGGCAGGTGCACATTGGGCGCCAGTCCCTCCATCATCTGCTGCTGCATCTGCTGGCGGAGCTGCTGGCGCTGCAGTTGCATGGCCAAGTAATTGGCCAAGTTGGCCGTCAATTTGGCCCTGTGGTTCTCCACCCGCCGCACATTCCTGACCAGGCGGTTATACACCAGTGGCTTCACGTCGATGGCCCACAAAAAGTCGAGGTGGTTGAACCGCTCCATGGGCACCAAATACTTGTCGACCACATTGGGCAGCTCCCGGGCCAAGCGGTCCACGCCGGTGGTGGAGACCAGCAAATCGTTCACCGAGTAGTACAGGGCCACCGGCACCTTCACCCGGGACAAGTCGTAGTCCGGCGGCGTCATCCGGTTGTACTCCAGCTGGTTGCGCAGGTAGCCCCGGTCGAACTTCCGGAAGTGGCCCGACTTCATCAGCTGGCCAAAGTGCTCCAGCTGCTTGATGGACGCTCCCGAGGGTGTGTGGCTCAGCATCACGGGCAGCATTGTCTAAAGGGAAAAACATAATATATTAATAAGGATGTAGAGTAACTATTTGGTTTGAATTCAATGTTTCTTATTCCTAAGTAACTATTTGTTACACCAAAAATTTACGGGAATGATAATTGATCTCGGTGTGCTGGAAATGCATTTACTTCAAGGTTGGAAAGCTTAACAAGTGAGCCAAGTCAGACTTTTTGGGTTTTAAATATTTCTAAGCAAACCATTTTACATTTTTTTATCGGTGAGAAGAAGCGATAAAAATATTTTACTTGGATGGTAAAGAAGTTAAAACTATAAGTTTTTCAAAATGCAGACGTAATTGCAAGTTTTCTTGAACCTGCGTAAATCTACTAGAAAAGCATATTTTCTTTGATTAAAATAATGACAATAAATGTCTTTTTTTGTAATAGAGTAAAATTAAAGAGAAATTATTTACACACAAACACCTGTGCAAATTCCTAATTTTTAATACAGAATTTAGAACTATGTAAAAATAATAAAATGAATTAAGTTCTGTGCTGTATATTGTCCTAAAATTACTTCTGAATGTAAATCTCTTACTCATAGTATATCAAAAGTAAAGGACCAAAAAATAAATACAATTAAGTTCAAGCCTATGAATGTTCCTAAAACATAAGCGCTCAATTATTTGTTATGGTTTGTATACGAAATATTCAAAAGGTTCTCTCACAGTTTTTGAAATGGAAATTTTAATTTTCCAAGTGCATGATTACCCATTCTGCAGTCTACACCTGTTTCTTGCACAATGTAACAACGGCCGCACCATGTTTCGAGGGCCCAGCATGCATTATCGTCCCACATTACTGCCGGTGGGGAAGTGGAGGTGTGGGGAGGAACTGGGGGTCCAGGATCATGTTGGGCCAGAGAATCGCGCCTAATTTGCATGCATTGTCGCTTGTTGTCGGTGCTACGGTGCTCGGCATCCCGACCGTGCCAGTTAATTATGCCAATTTCAAACAGCGACGACGAGGACAACCAGAAGATACCGCCCACTCTTGGCGGCCGTTGACATAATAGATAATGACACCCTTTCAATGCCAGATACCAGGTCGGGTCATGCCCCCACAGCCCACATGCCACATGCCACCTGCCACCTGCCACATCCCACCATCGGCCATCGCCCAACAATCGCATGTTGTTCAAGTAATTTAAGCCGGCCGCACTTTGTGGGCCATAATTTTGAATCTGCGGGTGTTTGGCTTGCGGTCGATTATCGGGCAAAGTTTTGCCAGGGCGTTGAGCATATTTAATGCAAACATCGTGGCCGCTTCGGGGATTAAGATAGTGTTTAACTACGTTCAAACCATCGATAATTGCAGCCCCGAATAACTACGTGTGTCCATTTGCATTGTGCAAAGGATTAGGGTAAGCATAGTCCCTAAAAAGAAAGGTAACATTTTGACTGTAGAGCTGATTTTACCTCACAAACGGTCGTGAGCAATTAAGGACATTCCGCGTCGACAGGCTGAGGCACAAACTGAAATGCAAACTATCCCGACCGACAATCGAATTGAGGCGGGTTAATTAAGTGCCAACTTAATGAAGACAATCGAAGGGGACACCCAAATCGATGGCTCTCAGCTTGCCTGGCGAGTCACGCGAAATCGTGGCCAAAACACACTCGACATCCAATCCCATTCTTATACACAGCGAGAAAAAACATGTATAATAAGGCCTTACGACTAATAACTATGTGAAAAGTAAAGGAAATCGGAGAAAAATTATGATTAATTTTTACTCTAAGTTATAAATATTTTAGGACTTCAGTTAATATTTGAATTACTGACTTTCCAATTTTAATCTCAAAAGTCCTGGAATATTTTTGAATAAAGAAATGTTACTTGCTCCGATGTTATTGGAATTTACGCTTACACTCATTCTGACTCTTTGTTTCAAAACTATTTAACATAAACAATACATAAAACATATAAAATATAAATATTAAAAATAATGTGTTTTTAAAAACACATTGTGAACTATTAAAAGTCTTATAATTTATAATTCTGCTCAAATAATACCTACATATATAAATTTAAACTGGTTAACACAGCTCAAACAGTTGCAAAAGTACATAAATTGCTTAAATCAGCTCTCAAACAAATAAGAACAGTCCCAAAATATACCAGTTTCAATATAGACGTCACTCTGCCCTTTTTGGCACAGTGCACTTGCTTACTTTGTTCAGCTGTTCGGAGTTGTAGCCGGCGACCAAAAACAGGATATTCGAGCAGACGTCCTGCGTCATGGCGTTGTCGTGGCACACAACCTGGCTGTGGTCCACTAGGAATTTGGTGTTGGGCATGAATTCCGTGATGCGCAGCATTCGTGTGGCGGCCTGCAACGAAAAACGGCATCAGGAGGGAAAACACGGAATGGAAAATGGAAAATCGAAAATGATCCAGCCGCAGCTGGCGACCCCAACCCCAACTCAATCCCAACCTGCCACCCACCGTGAGAAAGTCGAGGAAGAGGACCAGGGTGCGGAAGAGGGGGCTCTTCATGTCGTGGATGTAGGCGATGGGGGCCAGGGCGTGCATCGAGGTTATTTTCTGGGTGTAGGAGGGCTGCTCGGAGCACAGCACCCAGAAGATGGCCGTTCCCTGCGAGTGACCGATGTAGTGCACCTGCTCGAATCCTGTCTTGCTCAGGATGTAGTCGATGTTGGCCGGCAGGTCGTACTTGCCCATCTCGTGGAAGGTGAAGTCCCAGAACTCCTGGTAATCGCTGTTCAGGCTGGTGTGGTTCTTCGAGTACCGGTTGCCCCGCGAGTTGCCCATCCACACGTCGTACCCCAGATCGGATAGCATGTAGCCTGGTTAACAAAATAAATTTTATTAATCATAATTATAATCCAGAAAAATACACTTAAGAAATCATATTAAATGACCCTACCAGTGAAGTACAGGTTGGCCTTACAATTTTCTGTTTTAGAATAAGAAATAGCATCGGCTCCTTAAATATCCTAATTGTATATAATTATATTTACGTTACTGAATATAAACAACTTAGAGAAGATAAAATTAAAAAAAAGTATTTTTGATTTTGAAAAGAATATAATGTTTTTTGAACAATTGTTTTTAATTTTATCCCAAAGATATATTTAGGATTACACAATCCCTCTTTGGAAAATAAAGAAAATTGTTGGTGCCAAACACATCTCAATTTAATATTACTTGCTTAGTGTAAATGAATTAGGTAACTTTACAGAATATTTTCAACTAAACGAAGATAAAATTTAAATAGTTGTTTTAATGCTTAAAGAATATTGTGTTTTTTGAACAATTGTATTTTATTTTATACCAAAAGAATAATTTGGTGTTCTAAACTTTTCTTTTTGATTTTTAAAAGAATATAATGTTTTTTGAACAATTGTTTATAATTGTATCCCAAAGATATATTTAGGATTATACAATTTCCCCTTAACTATTAGCTTAGTTTAAATAAGTTAGGTAAGTTTACTGAATATTTTCAACTAAACGAAGATAAAATTTAAATAGTTGTTTTAATGCTTAAAGAATATTGTGTTTTTTTAACAATTGTATTTTATTTTATACCAAAATACTAATTTGGTGTTCTAAACTTTTCTGGTACTTACCCAATCCGGACTTGGGGCCCATGAGCACCCACGTAGCCGAGGTATCCAGGATGCCGTGCATCAGCAGAACCGGCTGGGCTCCCTTCTTGGGAATGCGGTGCATTTCCAGGATATAGCCATCCTTCGTCACCACCGTGTGGGTCTCCGATGGATATCCATATTTGCGTATTAATTTGGGCTGTACGAACGCAGAAAAAAGCGGAACAAAAATTGACGGAGAGAGAAAGGTGTTAGAAGTGCAAATCATGGTAGTGTGAAATTGAGTTGCCTTGGTCCATGTTTTTTCCACCTGCCCTTGCCGCTCTTTGTCTTCACCCCTTTAATTTGCATAGTTCAAATGGAAGAGCAGGTGGATTGGACCAGGGCACCACCGGCAGCGGCATCGTCATCACCATCGTCATCACCATCGTCATCAAGGAGGCATTCGTCTGGCCCTAACCACAGTCATTTGAAGTAATGAATTTTAATTTGTGGCATCAACAAGTTAATAAAGTTACCAGCCAAGCTGTTGTGGTCCAGAATGGCTGAGTAAATTGCTTGTGGAGTGGCACTGAATAATCGTGTTATCTCAGAAAAGGTATAAGCTGAGAAAACTAGTGCTGTCAGGGTAATATTTTCAACTATTTTAGCTGACAAGTACGGGACAGAACCTTATAGAATTTCTTTATTGACACCAATGAAAATCAAAGTATCATCCAAACTATAAGGAATTATCAACATTGGGGATGCTTTATTCGAACTCCAGGTGACGCAAAGTCCACGCGGCCCCCCTTAAAAGTACATCGCCATAGTTTAACCCAGTCACGTATCAAGCATACGCACTGTATGACAGCATACTTTTCTTCCTGCTCGCAAATGAATTTATAGGTTTTTCAGAAATTCGTGATACGTTTGATAAGTCTGGGGGATTATGTAAGCCGCTCGGGTAGTAGGTGGCCGAAAGAAAAACATATAAGACCATTGTTGAAATTAAGTTATAAACACGCGATTACCCAAATTTCAAACAAACAAACAAACCGGCCGAACGAGTGAGAAAACTACAGAAATAGACTCTCCGCGAGCCGACTGGCATTTTAATTAACCTTGGCAGCGAATAGCCCCTGCTGTTGTGGCCACAAAATAATATAAACACTGCAATTGGCCAATTGACTTGCCGGCTGGTTGGACAACACGAGGAAGTGGTACGCAAAGTAAGCCAGCGAAATGTGTTTTTCCTGCTCCGTTTCTGCATGTTTTGTTTTCGGCCGATTTAGCCCAATGCTAGGGCATAAATTTGCTTTATTTTTATTTATTTTTTTTGGCAATTTCCTTGCCTTTTGTCTTACGTAACTTCTTTGTTCGAGCTGCTTAAAAAGAATGAATGAACGTGCGAACGAGGTGCAGAGAAGCCGCAGAAAGTGACTTGGCCAAGCCCCGAAAGTTGCAACAGCTGTTGCCGATGCCACCCGGCAAAGTTTTTGTTTTTCTTGGCTTGACACACATTTTGCGAAACAGCCGGCCAATATTTGCCGAAAAGGCGTTGCAAAGATGCTCAAAATGCAACAAAGTGCGGCCGGCAGCTGGATTTTCCCGCCCAGCGGTGTTGGCCAATCGCGGAAAGTTTTGAAATTCATACGTGTCGACAAATGTTTAGTAATAAAAATTTCTGCAATATTTATCTCTTGACAAGAAAAATTAACTACTGTCTTACAGTAGTGTGGTGTAATTTATTAAATTTATTGTACGGATATTACTGATATTTATCTTAGCGCATTGAAAAAACTAAAACAAACGCACATCTAGCTTTTGCACAATACAAATCGACAAGCTATTAGCTAAAATTTGTACTTTTGAGTACAAAACGTATCACAAATGTCATTGAACAAAAGGTTTTGTAATAAAATAAATATTATCTTTTATTTAAAATTTTATGATTTTGTTCACGCAGACAGAAAACCTAAACAAACTCATTTGTTGTATAAACCGTAAACATAAAACAATAAGACAATAGAAGATTTGCACAAATATGGAAATGTTTTGATTTAACGCCAATTTAAAAATCCCAGTAAATAAATCAACAAAATTGCGGGCAAACAATGTGAGCAAACGTTGGAAAAACTATAATTAAATAAATGGAGTGCCTGAACTAAAGGAAGGGAGGGGCTGAGACCGCTCACTGAAAAAGTAAATGTTGAACTACACCGATTTCGACCTGGGCCAATACGAAAACTGAATGTTTGTCGATGGGCGCCGATCCATAATTTTGTCGGTTTCTTTTTCCATATTTTTACTGTTTTGCTAACTGAACATTTTGTTCGTTCGACTAAAAGCCGCAAAAAAACTTTATTAGCACCTACAATATCGTCTTGAGGTGCGATTAACATAATGCTCATCATGACCCACTAATTTTTGTGTTTGCATGCCTCCGGTTTGTGTCCATGCTAATTGGCAATGCGGTGTGTGCTTGATTGTACAGTGAGGACTGGCATAGAGTGACTCGAAGCATATTTGTTGATAAAGTAAGCTCACTACTCACTAGGATTAATAGAGGCGTTATATTCATTTTAATTGTATATAATTCACTGTTTTATTATTTGATTTCAGTTAGGCAGTAAGTACTGTAGTGTTGCATGGGCCTTTGGGTGTGCATGGGTCTCCATGTTTTCGTTTGCTTCGTATTTTTCCTCTAAAATTCAATGCAAATTTTGTAGTGTCAACGTTTGAGGGACTGTTTTATGGGGCTTTGTGGCGTGGCTTTGATTAATTTGCATAAAACACTTTTGCCGCTCGAACTTGAGCCGAGCTCGTCAGTGGATTTATTTTGGAGAAGACCCAACCGGAGTTCGCCGGATGGATGGGTATCCACTTTGAGACCATCGCTCATTTTGTAACTGACCTTGATATTGACTTCGGCTTTTATCACAGTCATTATAATGACTGCCGTTCGAAACGTCTCGATGTCATCGCCGCCGACCCCAACCAGTTTTTCCTCCTCTCGTTCGAAGTCAGGTCTCTATTCGGCTGCATTTTCTGTGCCGCTGTGCTGGCTTTATTCCGCCGACTGACATCGTTTTAATGACATCAAAATCTTAGAGGTTAATCACATTTGAACTCTGCTCTCAAGATGACTGATCAAGTGGAGCAACGACTTCAATATTATGCAAATTACTTCGATCGATTAGGGTTGCAAGAATACCAATAAGTGGCAATTAAAAGCAGCAACGAGCTCCCAATTAATTGATTGATTTGATGTTAAATGAAATTAATTATAATTATACGTGCATGCTAGATAATTAGTACTTATATTGTTAATATTTAGTTGAGCTTATTATTGCGGCTAACTTGGTTCTCTAAAAACATTTAACTAAATTATTAAATCACAACGAATTAGGAACAGGGTCTTTAATAATATAGAACTTAAAGATATAAATCATTTTTATAATTTAGTTAATTTAAAATTGACATGCCCTTTTTAAACTCATTTAACACCTAGGCATAATCATTCCATATGTCATCGATTTGCCAATCCTTAGTAAGGTGGGACAAAAGCAAAAGACAATGCGGAAATCTTTAAATTCAAATTAAGGCAAATACGAGACAGTTTTATGCAAAACAAAAGCGAAAAATATCCAGAGCCATGCCGAATGCCGAAACTATTTCCTTATTATTGCGAGGCAAAGCCTTGAGCTTTCTTCGTTGACATTTGGAAAGGTGGCCAGAGCGGGGGGTGGTAGTGGGTGGTAGCGGGTGGTGGGCGGTAGGCGGTGTGCAGTGGGCGGAAGGCGGGCAAACTGCTAACCCATATTTCAAAGTCAGTCAAGCGCTGTGGACTTGGACGGGTTAGCCTAATTGCACTTTGATGATTGTGTAGCGTTGACAATTTCAATTTGTTATAGTCTGCCAAGAGTGGTGTCCCCGGAGATATATATTTATATATCTGGCCATCTCCCAACCCCCGATTATGCAATTTGGCAACGTGCAGAAATTGTGACGAAGCTTGGTGTTTTTTATTCCGACTTTTAGTTACATTGCAGACACGCGCTGTGAACGCGCTCGAAAGCCCAGCCATGACTTTGCATAAGATCGACTTGAAAAGTGCGGCGGCACTTGGGTTGACAATATGCCAGTACACCGTACTCTATGGGTCTCCCTTTATTAGTTTCTGGGTCTGCGCAACAACTTGAATCACGTAGATCGCATAAAGGCGTTACGTTATCGTGGCCAAATGTATGCCTGAACACTTGTTAATAACTCTTTTCCTCTGACTTTGCTGTGCTTTATTGGCTCTGCTCATTTTCGCCTGTCTGTTTGTTGACCCCACCCTGAAATCGATTGGGTAATCTTCAGCTTGGTGTGATCTTTGATATTTAGCTGGCCAAATCAGGTGTTTATGTAGATGTGTTACCATATGCAAATTTTCTGGCCTTGAGATAATTTTCGGAAACCCACGGAAAACCTACGGCCAGCATTTACAATTGTGTGAGCAATTGACCAATGAAAATGTTGATCTAATTGCTCGGCACGTGAGCGCTGTAAATGAGCTCAAGGTCACTTCGCACTACCAATGGCTATCAATTCTAAAAATCGAACTCATTAAACGAACTTTGGTTTCTGTGACTGCCATAAAATGCTTATTTCGTATTGGATCCATTTCAACGAAGGCTAAGCCCGTCTTTTGTATTGTTGTAAGTGGGCCTTAAAATTATAAACAAATAAATATCAAACCTGATTGGATTTCTCCAAAGTGGAATACCAGCTCTCTTATGAAGTTTTAATATGGTTACGAATATTCTGCCACCGATAAAGCCATACACTTTCATGTTACTTCACACCAGTATTACCAGCTCGTAAACCTTTTAATTAGCTTCAACTCTAGAAATAAATCCATCAGTTACGTGCTTGCAACTGAGTTAACTCACTCACTGAAGTTAGACATGATTAACGCCATAAAAAGGCTACGAAATTCACACAAGTTACGGCAGCTCCCCTTTCTCTTGGAAAACAAAGGGTAGTCAATGAAAAGTGCAGTGGCAACTGCAGTTGATCACGGGAGGTGACCATTACAATTGGTAGGTGCCTGCAAACGGCTCAAATGGAATTGGTAATAGTTCTCGGACCTCACTCGAATACTCGTACTGCGAGTCAACGAACCCTGAGAACGGAAACTTTCTTCTTTGGGTGGTGAGCAGTGAAAAGTGTAAATTTATATGACACACAAAAATGTTCGACCAAAGTAAATACCAGAACAGAACGCGATTGTGCCCTCAGAAAAGCTCTTCAAAACAGCCATGGAAACAAAACAAAAACGACGTGGAAAACCAATGTCAATGTAAAAGGGGAATTCAAGCGTGAAGTTTTGACCGACTTGGGATAAGTTCGAAACTACTTTCAGGTAATAGTAATGAAACTATCTTCTCGATTTTAAGCCTCTTACAAGCCAAACATTTACAAATATAGTTATACTCATTACTTTTCGAATATACATTCCCAACTATATTGGTAATGATAGCAGTAAAAAATCTGTCAGAGTAATGTTTAACTAATGATGAATTTTAAACGTTTTATAGGCATTAAATATAAATGTTATTTTTTGCCTTTGCCCTTGGTACTTCGAACTATTACCAAAACCACGTAATATTTTTTATAATTTTGATAATGATTTTATTAATAGCATTACATTTATGCGAATCATTTGAATTCATTAGCTGATATTAGCAGAACTTTGTATTTAGTTTACCATTGATTAAATCACATAAAAAATAAACAGTTTTATTAGCTTTAATTGTTGTTCAATAAGTGAAAACGTTACTCTTTAAGTCGGTAATACCAAATTATATATTAATTTAATTTATCGTTTATTAATAATTTAAAGAATACACACAAAAAACTTTTTTTTACTTCGAAGTATTTGCCGAAACAATTAAAATCTCAATTATCTTTTTTTGACTTCTGGAAGTCAAAGCCATTTAATGATTTGTTACGAGTGTATCTTAAAAGTCGTATATCAGTCGGCTAACGCAGTGCAGTCAAGTTCACCAATAAAATAATTTAACTATAAACGTCATGTCGCTAAAAAATTCCAAACACGAGATAAGCGAACTAAAATATAGCAACGGTGCTAAGATGTTTTCAATGAGTAATTTAATTAAGATTTGATATATGTACGTCCCCCATAATGTTGCACTCCGTTGTGAATTTAAAAAGTTATGTGAGCATTCGTACCAACAAGTTAGAAAAGCTGAAGCTAGAAAATCGGTTTAAAGACTATTCACGCAAGCTGAGTTGTCATCTGAGTTTTTGGCTTATAAATATAATAAAAAAAACTCGTTCAACAAAATTATAAGCTAAAATTCATTTGGTACAAATTTTGCTTGGAAGAGATATCTGCAGCACCCTGGTAAGTGGAATCTTCAGACACTTCTCACTTCGATGTGTTATAGAAATGAACCCAGAACTCAGATCCTTTCAACCCGTTCCTTCTACCCTCCAGGACTCACCGTGATGAGGGAGGCGTCCTCGAGGACGTCGGACTTGAGGTTCCGCCCGCCGCCGGCCAGGTTGGCATTGCTCGACAGCAGCACGGAGTTGAGCAGGTTCTTGAAGCTCAGCGAGCTGTAGCTGAAGGGCGAGAGGAGGGTGAAGGCGCCGGCCCGGCCGCACACCTGCATGGCCACGAGGCAGTGCAGCAGGAGGGTCGTCAGCAGACGACCCTTGACCTCGACGGTGGGCCGCATCGGAAGGCCGAGGGCGCAGGCACTCACAAATCGGGCCCAAACAGTCAGACACTCGCGGCGACACTCACTCCGACACTCAAACACTCACTCGCCAACCGAAGCACGCTCAGTCGGACACACAAAATGGGGCAAATTGGCAAATGCAACAGTTGCTTGCACTTAAGCGTAACGGTTACGTCGCCACTATCTTTTTTCTCCCGCTTTCGTCACTCTTGGCAGTTACGTGTGGCGATTCGGCACTCCGATGGTCTCAACGGACTGGAATCCTAATCCTTCGGACGGACTTGGCAGTGGCAACTATTGCTTTTCCCCCGGAGAGCACGGTGCAGGCACGGGTTTTCCGGATCACTCGATGGTCTGGTTCAGCACGCGGCCAGTAGTCAACCGTCTGGCTTGAGATTCGTCGCTCGACTGGCCGATTCGTGGGCAGAATGGCCTGAGCTAGGCTCAAATTGCAGCCGCGATCTGCGGGCCAACTTGTTCGAGCCGGCGCTTGTGGATCGCGAGCTTGTGGATGGTGAGCACAGGTGATCGGCTTTAGTGCGGATTTAAAGCGGGTTAAAGCCGCTCTCAAGTTGGTTTTTGGCCTGAAAATCATACAAATGTAATTTATACGCCACTCGTGTGATTATTTTATTTTGAAGTGCACTGAGAATGTTAAAAAAAATTAAATTATATATTATTCATTATAAATTACATAGAAATTTGTATAAAGAAATAGGAAATCTGTTCAAATTATAAACTTCTAACAAGTTTAATCGTTTTTATTTTTAACACTTTATGTATGAATTAATACTAAACTTTAAAATATTTGTGCCAAAATAGCAAAATAGCTCAAACTTAAGAAAAATACTTTTTTCTAAATATTCTTAACCTTAAGAATTTTTTTACATATATTTTGCTAGCCATTTGAGTTCAAGTTTTAAATAATCAATAAGTCAAAGTCACGAAATCCAATTTTTATACTTGTTAAATTTCCAAAGAAATTTTCGACCTAATAAAATGAAGATAAGTTGAATTGCCTAGCATTTTTTCTGAGTGCACATTTTGCCGACCTAGCTCAACTCCCCGGATTAGTCAGCTGATCGAGCCGACATGTTTGACGCCCCCAATGCAACCCACAATCCCCTCCCCGCCACAATCCACATCAAAGTTTGGCGCGTGCCCAGCGAGTTTTTTGCCTAAGTCTTTCGTTTCGATTCGCTTTCCTCCAGCCGCAAGAGATGTTGTTGTTGGACGTTTGACGTTGGACGGGGTTTGTCTCTGGGTTCGAACCGTTTAGCCGTTAGGCGGTGGATCGTTTGGCACGTCCCGAGCTTCTCACTGACTTGGTTGCGTGCTCGGTTGCTGCCAAGGTAATTGCAATTGAAGCCCCCATCCCAAGAGCCCGACTGTCGAAATATTTGGCCCGGCATCGGGTTACGTCTGCATTTGGCCAAATTAAAATGCAGGCTGAATTACACACTATTTTGCTTTGTGCCGCGCCTCGCTGAAGGCGGGAGTTTTGGGAGTTCGGGAGCAGCCCTCCCCCATATATCATTGCGCGATTTGTTGTGATTGCCCATCATTTCTTTTGTTTATATTTCGCCGACTCGCTCGACATCTGCATCTTGGGCCTGTTCGAGCGTTCGTGTTCGTCATTGGGCCTTGTCTTTAGTCGTCTGTTCCCACCAGCTTTGGCAACAACGATCTCTTCCCGTTTATCTCGGATTTCTTGCCGCACTGGTTGGCCTTGGCCGGCCAATTTGTCGGGCCTTCAATGACAACTGCGCACAGGCATTAATCATAAATTCAATAACCATTTTTACATGCATTCTTACCACATCCCAGCAGTAACCAAAAGTTGCGAAAATAAAAACCAAAGAGGCAGGGAGGCTTCGCGAACGCAGTGCGAAACGCCATCGAAGAATATCTTTAAAATTAAGTTTCGTTTTATATTCCAAGTCTTAATTGATTTATGGATATGGCTGTGCTTAAATTTTTTTAAAAATTAAATACATATATTTTTGTGTTTGCGGAATAAGTATTTCCTAATAATGCCGATAATTTCACATAACACACTTTTCCAAAGGCAGCAAATGAAAAAAATCACTATAACATGGAAAATGGTTGTACCCAATACAGATCGAACTAAATCGATCAACGATTTGGCATGATCATATATGAGATCCGCAATTTCAAGGCGAGCAATTGTATCGCAATGCCATTAAGTGTGCAGCAGAATCGCTTGGCCATCGGACTTGGACTTGGAGGAATGTCATGAACACGTGCCACATGCAATCAACTGTGGGGCAGGAGCAGGGCCATCAACTTCTTTTGCTGTGTTTTTCGTTATTATCTCGCTCGGATTGTAATGACTGCAATTATCCGGGGTTTTTTTTTGGGTCCGCCGAGATTCTTACAACATTTTGTGCATTGGATTTTCGGGCAGCTAAATTTGCTGATTCCAACTGAAATTATTGCAGCAAACATGGCAATACCAAATCGAGGTGTTGCAGCTTAACCCATTAAAAGCCAAAGCTCAAAGTTCGATGAAAGAAGAAAAATGTTTTTATTTGCTTAAAATGTATACAACAATCAAATAAAAATAGTTTAAGAAATAATAGAATATAGCTTTGAAGGGCAACAATATTATTATATAGCTTTCGTTTAATAGCTGTAATTTCAAACTTAAACTTTTGTAATAAATCTCAGAGCCAGAAACTTAAATAAATGGCTTTCCCTGGCTTAAAACAATTTGTTTTGCTGCGGAAAATTACTCGTTGTTCCGTAATGGGTTAATGCCGCCAATCTCAAGGTCGCAAGCCGCGAGTTATGTTGTTTTTTTGTAATTTGTTTGGCCACTGCAGTCGAATTTTTGTAATTTTTGTTTTGCTTTTATCCCGCCACGCAGCGTGACACTGAAAATTGTTATTGAGGGCAGAGGGAAAAGGGGTAAGTATGAGGGTCCAAGCTTTTTGCCGGTCGGTAATTTCTCTGTCGTCCTCAGCTTCTTGTTTGCGACCTTGCCAGGAGTGTTTTTGCGCAGTTTGCGATGTTTGCCTTATGGTTGACACACTTTCCGGCCGACCATCTCATTTCCATATCATCTTACGCTTACTTGTACGAATATAGTGTCAGCAGTGGTTAATTAGCGCACTTGACATTGCTCCGGGTTGGGTTTAACTGCTTGGGAGTGTCTTAATGATAGTGCTTACACTTTAATGGCCCTTAATCTGCTCCCAATTGTCCCAAATTTCTAGCCAGGGGGAACGAACGAATGATTAGTGCTGTCCCTGAGCTAAGAACCTTTAGTTCTAAGACTTTATAGCCCAGAACGATTAATCTCATAATTAAAATTTAATATACAACTTAATGCGAGTTGAAAAGTTGAACTCTGATAAACATACAGTACATGTGCTGGTCATAAAAAACACGTTTCAAAAAGAAATAAACACTTCGTATAAGTTATAAAGCAAACAGTGTAATGATTAATGAAAGTGTTCAATCGTTTAAGTCAACAAGATTAATAAAATAATCAAGATGCTGTTCTATCTACATGAATAAAATTAAAATAATTAAATTATTAAATTAAAATATAGTTCCTTAGTGACACCCCTTCACAGGTTTTTCTTTTAATCATTATCAAAAAAATTCTGCTAAATTAACATTATTGTTATAAATTACTTAACAAAATCCAAAAACTCAACTGAGAAATCAAACTGTGTAAAGACATTCATACATATACTTAAATATTTTAGATGTGTTTGGTATTTTAAAATTATGCATCTTATAGCATTTAAGTTTAAGCAATAATAAATTGACGAACCGGCACTAGGCTTTTCTAAATAAAACAAAGTCGATAACAATACTTTAAACCACAATTTTGTGAACCGAATTGAGGCTTGACCTAAATTCTCGTGATATCCACCCCACCTAAGTGCATTCTTTCCGCCAAAATCAAAGCTGGAATTTGGACTTTGTTGGATTGGGAAGTCACTCCGTGAAAGGATTTGCCTTGTGGGTATGCAAAACCGCCACTTAATTGTGGCGCCTGCCACCAGCGCACCCACGTTAACAGCAAACCCCTGGAAAATAACTACGATCAAATTGACGGAGGCAGGCTGAATCCACTTGGAGGGGCGTTTTCTATCACCCAACTTGTGGTCTGCGTAACATGGTAGTTTGGGGTTTTATTAGCGGTTCGGGCGCTTCTCCGGCGGACGATAAGCAGCCGACTGACTGGCGATTATGTAAAGTGATTTCTTAGTCTCAGAAACTTGGGAACCCGAACCCGAAACCGAACCCGAACCCTCGGTTGCGGCTATTACTGTCATCAATATTTGGTAACGAATTCCAATTGCATGGCATTCCAATTTCAGGTTGATTGCACTAACTATTTGCAGTCGCAGATGCAGTGGCAGCCCACTCGGGTCGCTTCTCTCCACCGACTGGCCTGTTATTATATAACCTTCCAGCCAGGCGGCAGAGTTTCCCCGTCCCCCCTCCCCGTCGACTTCTCGCACACCATTTTCCAAACCGAGAAAACTCTGCTAATGGCGACATCGAAAGTCGTTTTGGGTATACTCTACAAAGCGGAAAAGCCGCACAAAAACACATACTTTTTGGACGACGAAATTTGATTTACTATAACATTTGGCTCTGGATTCCGATATCATTTCTTTTCCATAAAGGGAACCTTCTTTTCTCATTGGGATTCTGGATCATGCTGCATCGGGAATATCATCGACAATGCGTAATATCTCGACCAGCAGTGCGATTAATTCACGTTCGTCCTCTTGATTGCGTCGATTCCTAGCTTCTTTCGACCTTCTGGTCCGTTCCATTGTATATTACAATTTTAGAAATTTATTAGAAACCTTTGCTCTTGTTGGACAAATGAATTTCAGGTAGTTGCTTATTCGACGCGAGAAGCTGTTGTGAACTGACGGCAACAATTCTTACTTAAAGGAATTAGAAGTGCTTACTAGGATCGTGGAAAATACCATTTTTGTCACAAATCAAATCATAAAAGAATTACGTGTGTAAGAATTTTGTTTAGTAATAAATTATATTATCTTTTATTAAGTGTAGCAGAAATAATATTAATATTTATTAAATTTTTAGAATAGGGAAGTAACTTATTTTACTATCCAAAATAATAAATCCAATATTTTCGGGGTAGGGCATCTCCGTTTCTTAGTTTCAATTTTATGCATTTGCTGTTTTTGAGCCAACTTTTATTTTATTTTGGCTTTGATGGCAAAACGGCAGGCTGCAACGAGACATGAGACACGGGGCACGAGGCACGAGGCAGAGCCCCAGCGGTGTTGTTTGTTTGCTTTTCCGCGCCACAATAATAACAACAACAACAGGTGGGCCTGAATGCCTTGCCAGATTTGTCATCCGCCAGTAACAAC